TACTAATCGTCGTAAAAGTTCAAAACACTTTCAAAAAACTTTTAAAATTAACGTGTACTAATACCCGAAAACTTCTAAGTAAATATTTACAATTATTCCAAACTTACTTATTTATGGTTAAAGTCTATATTTGTCTTAAATTGTTTTCTTGAAGTGTGCGTGTGCGGTAGGGCGGGAATGTGTGTAAAACTGTGTGTGAATGTGAATGTGAAGGTCTGTCGGACAGTTGGCAGTGGCAGGCTTTCAATGCATATGAATCAAGTAAAGGTAATTGAAAATCAAAGCCACTGAGTTTTGAAGGCGGGCTGGAACTCCGGAGTGTTGGGAGTGTCCGGAGTGTTGGGAGTACTCTCCTGGCCTGGCTTAGTGGCCATTGTCGGGGCCTCCGTTCAAAGGCTCCGATTTGTAGCTCGGCTGGCCGAGAAATGCGGTCTTTGAGTTGGCAACTTTGGACTCTGGAGTGGTCAATCGAGTGGCCTGGCCTGGTCAGTCCTGGCCTGGTCTGGTCTGTTTTCGATAAGTTTGATTAGTCAAAAGTGCTGTTCGAAGAAGGGCGTTTGGTGAAGAGTCCTGGTCTGCTACCATGTCGAATTAGCCCTCAGAGAATGGGTGCTGGCATGTGGCATGTGGCACGTGTCAGGAGCTGGAACTTCCAACTGGTTGACTAGTTGACTGGGTGACTACCTGTCCGCACACTTTTCGTGTGCACTGTGACACTTAGCAGACAATTAAGCTGCTGACCCCCAAAAACAATGGGCTGCATGTTTTCCCCCTGTTTGCCCCACTTTTTGGTCCTGCGGGGGTGGGAATTTTCATAATTAATCCAACAACTGCCGCCAGCATTTCCCAGCGCTTATGGCACCCGGCTTGTGGTGTGCGGCCGACTGGCGGAAAAGCATTTTCACCATTTTCCAAGACAATTTGCGAAATTGCAGCACTGCCTGCCTGCCAGGCACTTTCAGCTTTTCGTTTCTGTTTCAGCTTTCTGTTTTCTGTTTTTGCTTTCTGTTTTTTTCCCGCAATCCCGAATTGAAAATTCGCTGCTTTTGTTGTTTTCTCCTGCCTTGCCATTCTCATTTTCATCCTCGTTCGCCGTGCAAAACGTGGGAAAATGGGAAAATGGACGCTGCAGCAATTGCTCCAAAATCTCCAGCGCTTTGGCAAAAGGGAAATGCAGTTTGGACGCACCGATGAAAAAACAGTCGCCCGACCACCTTCCGGTTTTCAATTTCACGTGGGAAAACTCTGGGGACAAACTTTGAACATTGTTTTGCCTTCGGGTGGTCAGGTGAGTTAGAATTTCCTGGGTATCTACCTGGATAATTCAATTTAATTCACTGACTTTGTACATTTTATGTGATACAAACTCCTGCTCGGGTTTCCTTTTTTGTGGCTATCGTGTTTTGACAATAAAAAAGGGTTAAGCCTAGGTCACAAAATCAAAAGGGTAATGGAAAACCATTTATATAATGAGTTGGGCTTACATAAAGATTATTTGTAACCTTTTGAAGCAACACAGAAACATCATATTCTTTACAATTCTTAAAATACCTATATATGTAAAAATTACAGCAATATACATTTTTCGTTGTTTTCATTCTTGTATTTTCTATGCCATTTTGATCAAGAAAGAGACTATGAACCTGTAAGGTTTAATCCAATCCACTTTAAATATAAGCTGTGGTAGTATCTAAGATCCCATATAACGATCCAAATCAAATGCACTTAATTAGAGTTAAACTAGTTAATAAAAGGACACCATCGACTGGATCCAAGGAGCTGCTGCTGCTGCCGATGACAGTTTTGCCGCCAATCTAAGTTCTCTTCCCCAAAGTGAAGCAAATTTCCGAACGAAAGCGAACTCGGGAAGTGTCCCGCTCTGCGGAGTTTGTCTCGGGGCCACTTGCCTAATCCGCTTTGCCATGTCTGGGGCGCGGATGTCAAATTTGCAGGCAACTCCTTGCCCTTTGCTTCCTTGCTTCCCTGCTTCATGCTCCCTGCTCCTTGGTGCTTGGTGCTTGGTTCCTTGATCCTTTCGGGCATAAAAAAAGTTTACCGAAGCGCGGCATGTTCTGTGGCAAGTAGCGCCATTGTAGGAAACTTTAATCCCGCTTAAATTATAAATGGCACATTTGGCTTTCCCAGCAGTTGCAACCGGATGCCGATGACGGCGCCGATGCCATCTTGGTGTGCCTACTCTATGCCTACTTCGTCAGCTATTCGCTTTCTCCGGTTCCTGCCCCTGCTCCTGCTCCTGCTCCTTCGCCCATGTCCCATATCCTTTAGTCCCATATTCCATTTGGGGGAGCAACTCGAGTTGCTTGCCAAAAGTTTATGTGTGATGTCACAATCTTCCTGGCGAACGCCACCAAAGTGTGGCTGGGGCAAACTGCGATGGCAAACACAAAACACTTTGTAGCCTTTTATTTGGCAAGTGGAATGCACTGCACTAAAGCCAAAGTTTACGGCTGGCATTTAGTTGGTCCGCCAGCCCCAAAAGCGGAAACTTCTAAGCCCAAAACATGGACTAAAGTGAACCGAACCGACTTTGCAGTTGCAGTCCCCCAGCTCGGGCATAAAATTGTTGCCGACATGTTTGCTCCGCTCCCATTCGCCTGTTGAATTATGATTTTATGCCTGGCCTGGCAAAGTGTCTCCATCTCGGTGTCCCGGAATCGGTTTCTCCAGGCCAGGAAATCAATTAAAACTTTGCATCTAGTCTGGGGACCTCAAGCAACTCTGACTCTGACTTCAATCCCTGGGCATGTTTTCATGTGTGTTCCCGGCACATCAAACAAATGTCATCACATGTTCAACATCCGACAGTTAACTGCAATTAAACGTCATGGAATGCACAATTAATGCGCAACGACGGTCGAGTAATGGATTTAAATTATGCACTTCAATGGGCTTGATCTTCGGATGGTACTAGTGATGAGAACAAATAGCATGGGTTGCGAATTTCACCCATATTGTTTAATGTTATAATACCCAATGTTAGAAAACAAGTTGAGATGGTCTTTGTCCAGTTTTAAATTTAATATAACCATTTATTTGCTAAAGCTGAAGTTAAAATTAATTTTTTAATACATTTTAAATATGTTTTGGATTTGAAACATTTTTTTTTATATTTATAAAGCGCTCAAAATCTTTTATCTACAAAGTTTTAAAAATTTTAGGTTTCAGTGTGAACGACTTTTAATGCATCTTGCTGAATTTACAAGCTCTGTTCTAGTTTTGATCAAGAACATGTAAACCTCAAAAGCGAAATTGCTTAATGCACATACACAAAAGCTGGTATAGTTACAGGGAAGTATTGTAAGAAGATGTTTTGTATGCTATACCAGAATCTGATTATGAAAATTAATTAATTAAAAAAAAAAAACAAATTTCTTTATCGAACAAAGGGCGCACCTCTAATTTAAACCATCCATCTCTTTTGCCATCCCAACGAATTTCCAGCTCATTCAGGCATTACGAGTACAAATCGCTTGGGGCATGAGTTTATTAAATTTTCTCGAGCCCTCGGACATTGTTTAGTTTCCGTTCGTGTTTAGCATTTTTTCAGCACATTTTTTTTTCGAAACTCGGCTTATTTTTTGTGTTTCTGTTCGGCTGTAACCTCGTAAAACAGTTAGCAAGCATTGCAGTTGGGCCGGCGGCACAAATTTTAATTAGAGTGCGCCACGCAAACATATCCTCCCATGTAGCCTATACAGTCGCCACCAAGGATGCGATACTTTGTTCATGTTTGTTTGTCATACATGGGAAAAGTCCCTGGTGCATTGAACGGTATCCAAATAGGACCCTAAAGCGTTTTGTATTCGGTTAAATTGGAGGCGGGCAAGGGGGATGGAGGTGGGGGTGGAGGTGCAGGACACTCTGGCCACGATAAACAAGGGAAATGCCGTTGTGGCCACGGTTCCTTCAATATACTATATGCTATGCTGAACATATATAGCATGTAGTTCCAGTAGTAGTTCTTCTTTCTCTCTGCCATTCGTTTTTGCTTTCTGTTTTTTCCTGTGGTTGGAAAACGCTGCCGAAAACTTGAATGTAAATTTGCTTTGGCTTCGGTCTAAGGCCGCCACCGAGCACAATGTAAACCGCCCATTTCCCGCTAGCAGATCGATCGATTCGGTCGGAATGAGATTCTTGCATGAGGTCGGAACGTTTCTTTTTCGGGGGTTATGCAACTCGTTTGCCGAAGCATTTGTTACCATAAAAATTCATCGCGTTTCTGTAGCAGAGGATGCTTTGCAATTCATGCTGTGGGTTCATTGAGTTCTTTGCTGGCACCAAAGAATATAGGAATACATTTTGTGTTTTACATTAAACTAAAAATAATTAAAATATATTTAAAAATAAATTTAACAAAACTTAAAGATTTTTATTTTGTTTTTTATAATAAATGGTACGAAAGTGAATGTAAACATTTTTAGCAAAAGAAAATAGAAAATAGAAATTCAAAATATTTATTAAATTCGAAAGGATCTGGTCCTGATTCTTAAAGTAAGATTCGATCATTTTCAAGCGGTAATTTCCAAAAGCCAACAAAAAAATATTTTAAAATGATGTGCTCCTAAAATTTTGAGGATTCTTTAATCCCAAAGTACAAGCAGCTTCACGAGAACCTTTACCTCAACGGAGTGAATTAAAATTTAAGACCTCCGTCACTCCAGCCGGAATAATCAGGAAATGCATCCAAGATTCCAAAAACGAGGGAAGCCAATCCGGAGCAGGGCAGCTATCCACTTGGCTAATCGCAGGGCCAAGCCGAAAGTAATTATGGCCGTGTGCATTTTAAAGTATAACGGAAATGCCGACGCACAGGACATCTGGCCTGCATTATCGTGCCACTGTTCCCAGTATGGGATGGATTTGGTTGGATGTAGATGCCATCGGGGGATGGGGACTGCGCAGAATCAGCATCCACAGTTGTCAGTTTCGGGGTCTCCAGCAAGCTGGCCACATTCAGCTCCCATCAGTTGCGCGTCGGGCTCTTAACGGAACGGTTCACCAACTCCGGAATGCGGTTCCCTCCGAGATCGTAGTGCTAGAGTGATAGAGTGCTAGAGGACCCACACCAATCCTACCTGCAGGTGTTTGGCGCCAAGTTGCCCAAGAGAGACAAATTGTTTATCTTGTGTCAAGTGCTGCATGGCCACCCACTTTAGCTCCAGTGAAAGTTTGTTGTCGCCATCGCCATCGCCATCACTAACGCCATAGCCGTTGCCACTCCGGTGGCGTTTTGTGGCTGCCGTCTGTGGAAAGTGCCTAACCGAAAAGAGTTGGATCCGTGCGGTTTCGGGGAGCCGAAATCGGATGACATTATCTCCCAAGAGCCGCGGGTCTGGTTCTACTGGGTCTGGTGGTCGTCGGAGCCGAGTGGAGGTGAAGTGGCATGCGGCCGGGCGACTCGACTCGGAATTAAAAGCAGCGGAACAAGGCGTCGCACCTTAGGCATGCATCTTTAATCAGGCCCCAATGAATTTCCGCGCGAAATGTTTACGGCCTATGAATAAGCAATGAAATAAGCGCTCCCAGGCATTTGTCATTTGGCAAAGTGAAAATTGAAGTGACTGTGAATATAGCGACAAATAGCGACAAATTGCGACAAATGTGCTCCAGCACCTCGGATTAAAGCAAGTCTAGGCAATCTAGGCATAATTTCTTCTTAACTAGGTAAATATTGGGTCACGTTCGACAGTGTATGAAATGTGGGGGTGGCTCTTTCACACCTGTTACGACTTAATTACGGTTGGGCTAAGTAACTTAATTATTCACCTGGAATGCGGCTTGGCTGGAGTGGCTCGATGGCAGTATATTTGCCAAAGCAGAAGTACAAATAGCCAGCGGGGAAAATGTGTGTGTCCAAGGGCCCTGAAGTCCGGAATACGGAGTCCAAATACCAAAGTCCAGAGTCCTCAGTCCTCAGTTCTCGGACTAATTCCCCTCGAGGCTGGTCAAATCGGAATCTTTGGGCGGGGCAGTCATATAAACGAGAATGAATGAATGTAATTGCTTTTGATTTATCTCACTCTCATCGCCGGCAGAGGCAGTGGGCGGGTACTAGAGTGGAAAGCCATTTATTTGGTGATTTCCGCTCCGACCTGGCAAAATATAACTAATTCTGATAAATTATTACACAGATGATTATTGATGAACACCAATTTATTAAGTCGGCGGTGCGGTTGGGGGCTGTACGAGTATGTAGGTGAATCGAGGTCCATAAACCTCAACCTCAACGTCGACTTTAACCTGAACCTCAAAAACCTTTCTTTGGTAGAACACAAAAAAAGGGAGTGGAAGTGGAATTTGGAATCATGAAATTATTTATGAAGGAATGCCTACGAGGGAGAAAAGACCTTTGGCATTGCCATTTTTTGGGTTTGCGGCCAACTTATTCGAGAATAAAGGGAAAAGTTTTACTTTTTGTGGCTGAATTATACATTTGGTTGCATATTTGCTGGCCGAATTACAAGAAGGACACGTCTATGAATTTGTTTTCGCCCAGCTTTAAAAAGCCAACTTTCCTGGGTCAGGGGTCAGGGGTCAGGACACCCAAAAATTCCCACAGGGGACGTGGCCAGCGAGTAACTATTTTGTGCTTCATTACAAAAGGGGAAAAAGTCATGAATACCAGATTAGGTATATGATTAATGGTGAAAACTGACTTGTTCTAGTTCGGCAGATTTAAAATGCACCCGCCCATAAATCAATTTCTGAAATGCATTAGCACAGTGCAGCACTGCGGGATTTTCGATTTTGCGGCTTTGATAGCCACATCGATTAATCAACGGCACTACAATGGCTCTCCGCGAATCTGGAATGTGAAATCGGTGAATAAAATCAGGTCCGAGGACAGTGCTTTTGATTGAGTATTTCGTACAGTCGATTGAATAAACAAATTCTTCGGGTCTATGCGGCCTTCTTCACTCTCCACGGTTTTTCTAGTTAAAAATACATTTCTATACTTTCATGCACTCGAAGAACGAAATGGATTTCGCAAATGACTTTTAATTAAGAAGCGAATTTAACATTGAAAGCTATTGAAATAATTTCTACTTTTATTGTTTATTATTATGATATTATACTCACGATTAGTAAAGCAGTTTCATAAAATAAATAATTTTTTTTTATTTTACATTTTTTTTGAGGAATTATAAGTTATTCTAAACCGCATATTGCGGTTGGAAAAAGCACTTTAAGAATAGTATTGTGTTGTATGGTAATTTTGCGTACGTCAGGGATGTACTATTAAAAATGCAATAGTTTAATAGTTTTTTTTTATCGTTAACGTTTTTGTTTATCCATCAAAGGAGTTCTGCAATATGCAACAATCGAATCAAAGCCATTTCATGCTTTTTTCCAGTGCAAGAGGGCAGAAAAAATTGTTCCATTATTTTTTGAAATTAATTGGCCAACGCTTGTGAAACAATTTCCGGTCAGGAATTCCTCTAGCAGTTAGCAGGCAAACACGGTCGAAAGGGGTTGCGTTAACTGGTGGATAGTGGATCGGTGGGTTTGATGGGTTTGCTGGGTAAGGACCGGGAATTTTCCGTTTTCCGTTCTCCGCCCTAAGGCATTTTGAATATTTCATTTTCGCATTTCCATATTGACCAACTGGTCAAATAAATTCGAGGAAAACAAATAATAGCAACAAGAAACGGGCAGAGGGCGTAAAGACTTTTCAGATGGCAGATGAAAGGGCATTGTGTCGCCCCCAATTTCTGGTGCCCTGCACTTGATCCGCTATGCATCGTCCGTTCGGGATTTATGAATGCTGGAATGTTGACACAATGCCCAAATAATTCAAATGTTGTGCGAATCTGCTGAAATATGTTATACATTCATTTACATGCAGATGCGAGCCCTTCGGCTTTTAGACGGATTTGACACGTAGCTGGGAAAATGCAGATACAGAATTCAAGTGGGCCCGTTTCGCAGGATGAGCAATGGCTGCAGGATGGGTGTATATGAGTGGGTATGGAAGGTGGATGTAGATATGGATGTGGATATAGATGTGGACGTAGACGTGGGTGACGGGCTTGTGGAGTTTACTGCCTTGCCATGCATGTGCGAGTTTGTTTGTGTTGTGTGTATTTGCATTTCCATTTGAGTTTTTATTTTTCAATTTTTCTGATGTTACTGTGACTGCAATATTCGCTTGAATAAATTATCCAGGTGAACATTGCTCTGCATACTAAAAGGCGGCATATGCCAGAACTGACTTTAAATCAAAAGGATATGTTTTTTGTTAACTTAATTATCTTCAATTGCAGCAGTTTGACAATTGCCTTGTGTTGGGAATATATTAATTTCCGTATGGCAAAACGGGGCGGGGGCGGGGGCGGGGGCGGGGATCTTCCTGCAAGATAACGCCATTAATTTGGATTACAATTTCATGTTTCATGAAGTGGCGCTCGGTAATCACGACTATCGCCGAAATCCCCTTCATTGTATTCAAATTTCTTTATCCCCTTATAATGTCCGTCCCAGTTTCCATAATGTCCCTGGGCTTACTCTCCCCTATATCTCTATTCTCGTCCACCCTACTCCCCCTCAACCCCTCAACCCCTCGTAGCCAGCCACTGTCGCCTTCTTCGTTCGCTTTATGGTTCATGTTCATGTCTTCTTTATCTAAATCATCCAACTGTGTAAATATTTGCCTCGCTTCCTGCATTCCATCCTCGTTATCCTTAAATCGTGCGTGCCGAGCTATACAAAGACAAGCGAGTGGGAGCGAGAGGGGCTGCAAGGTGGGAGCGAGAGGGGAGGCGGCAGGAACTCGAGGAGCGGGAATGAATAAAGCAAACCAGCCAAGCGCCCAAGCCATCAGCCCACCGATCCGAAGTCCCACCGACCGACCGACCGACTGAGTGAACCGACCTACTCTACACTGGGTTAAATTTTGCATAAGAAACACAAGGCGGTCGCTGTTTTTGCACAGTGGAAAAAGCAACAAAAAACTGCAAATGTAGAGTAGGTAAGTGAGGGAAAGGAAACTTTTAAAATCACATCTGCAATTTCAAGTGAATATCAAATTAAAATATTGCTTTTTCATTCGCTTTAACGGCAGGTACAACTTTTTTCATAACCCTTTTTTCCTTTATTGGTGATATGATTTAAATAGTATAATTTAATCCTATTTAATCCTACCATATTGTTGTTTTATTACAACAATATTTAGCTTTTAATCAAAAATAAGCAGAAAAGAATAGCATTGAATGCATTGCAAAATTCTTCACATTTCACATTGTAATATTTTACGATTAAATACATAAAGAAAATCTGACCCTAAAAGTTCACGTACAAAAATAGAATGAAAACATTTTTAATAGTTAGCAAAATATTTAAAAAAGTTAAGGCAAAAAAGCCTTAAAATGTTAAAAAGTTTTGAACCTGCTTTTGAACCTTAAACATTTACTAGTTCCTCTATGTAAGGTTTTAAGTCTTTCTAATAATTTAAAAATCCTGCAAATCTAGTGAAACAGTTACTTTATGAATAAATGGTTTTTATTTTAGTAGTGTACATTTTAAAAATTTTATCTATGTTTATTTTTTGACAAAAGCGGGAAAGTAGACCCCACTGCACCCATCCATTACATTTGTTTAGGCAAGACAAATATAACCCCTTTTTGTCCCACTGTGCGTAATTCCAACGGTAAACAATAATCGCAGCATTAATCTGAAACTGTGCACAAATCCGTCAAACTTAGTTGCGCAAGCTGGGAAAACGCCAGAGACCCAGAAAAGAAAAGCGAAGGAGACAAGCACGACAACAACAACGAAAACAAGGAGAAGAACACAAACATTGGCGGAGATTTTTGGGCGCTTGAGCTGTCATTAATTTTAAGAACTTTAACCCACTTCCGCTCGTTATCGGCCGTCCATCAATTTTCCAGGTGCCTTGGCTTAAAACTCAAAAAAAGGGGGAGAGATATTGCCAAACAAATAGTTGAAATCATTGTGAAAGGCAATTAAGCAGCGTGACAGAGTGTTTTATGGCACTGAAAATTATACGACTTCTTAGAGTTTTATGATGTTATGCCCGGGCGGAGATTCTCAATCGGGAATGGATGCTATACAGAATTTAATGGGGCGCACTGGCCAATTATCCCTAAGCACAAGGAATCGGGGTCACCGATTACGCTCCAACCGACACTGAAGTGTACATCTATAGTACGTTCTTCTCGGGAAACGATATGAGATGAGTTGAGTTTTATTTCAAATACGGGGTCCCTCTTTCATGTCAGCCATATTTGCTGACTGGGGAAACCGATACTCGACACTCGAAATGGGGCAAATGTTTGGTTTCCACAGATGGATGAATGGCTGGATGGAGGGCACAGGATGAGAGTCAATCGCTGACGGCACTGAAACCCAATCCGCAAACGGCTAAAAGGAAAAGGGCCAGGGATCACCGGCAGCTGCAATCAATATTCATAAAGATTCGGCAAAGTTCACTCCACGGGGTTAGACAAACTTTCGATTGTCTTTGGGGATATGCGTAGAAATCGCTACCAACTTTGCCCGGGCTTATTTCATTATGGAACTTATCAACAGATTTGAAATAAAATCCCCCGCCGCCCCCGCAACTTTCTTAAGTATTTACAATGTTGGGGCGTTTTTGTCAGCTGCATTATGATAAAAATTTTCCAAAGTTTTCCTTAAGCTTTTTACACGGGCTTACCGCAAGATGTCGACTGAAGGGCCGATCAGGGGCGGGGCTCTTGAGGGCGGTAGAGGGGGTGGGGATGCTATGGCTTAGCTGAAAACTTGAAAGGGACGAAATCCCTTTGGCCTCAAACTATTATTACATGCTCATATAGATTATTCACATTCTTTCACTTTGCAGTCACCGTCACCGCAACAAAAGCAACAAAGGATGGATGCCAAAGCTGGCTTAAGTGCGCTGGAGGAGAGGTCCCTGAAAGGTTCAGGTATGTGGATTATATAATTGGCGACAACTGCCGAGAATTCGGCAAAGTCGTTCACACAAACTGACTGAGGCGTACAGTGTGGTTTTGAGTTTTAGTAGGGCTTATTGAGTTTTGGAAAGCGCTCCATCCATGAAGATTTTAATTAAATCGTATTTACCAGTAGGTGCACAATTAAATACATGTAATCTTATTACTACAATAAATTACACATGTCTTTAAAGGAATTAACTATTTTGCCCAAATATGTTTATGGTTTTTAAAACCTAAATATCTAACAACTAAAATAGAGTGAAGTTTAAGTTTGCAAAAATATATATCATTTATATGTTAAATTAATATTTAAATTTTTAATTTGTATTTCGTTTAAAATTGTTGAATTAAAATTATTAGTTTATTATAAAAAAGTAATTTTCAAATTGATATTATCAAAAAAAAAAATTAAATCCTTAAAATATATAAAAGAAAATGTTGGAGGGCAAGTTTTCTTAGATCAAAAGGAATTCTACTAATGCCTACTTTACCTACCCTTTTTGAACTTAGTTTAAATTTGTCTGAACTATCTTATCTGATAGTTTCTATAATATCAATCTCCGTTAAGGAAAACAGATTTGTAGAATTCCCAGAAATGTCAGTCATCGATTGGGTTAAGCTTATCGCTGAATCAAAGTTACGATTGAATCTACTTTCTTTTTCTTTGACCAAATGGCCCGAATGTCCCCTGAACTGTGTTATAGTTCCGAATGACAGTGTATATCCCCGTATAAGTAGGAATCGAATCTGGTGGAGATGGCAGGGGGGTGGAAGCTAAGGAAAGACAAACAGAGCTCAGAGTAGACGAAGAAGAAGCCACCACCGTTCTGTTTAACCAACCACCCACACCACCACCACCAACACCACCACCACCTTCATATATGCTCTGAGGGCATTTAGAAAGACCCACACTCACATCCACACTCTTCATCTGAATTTTCCGGCTCCACTGGATGGAGAAAATGTGAATTTTTTCTGCTATTCCACCTTTTCGACTTTCGACTTGTTTACGCAAAAGTTAAGGAAGGACATAAAAGCGAGCGGGCATCCTGGCATCCGTCGTAAAAACTGTCGCCGTCACACTGGCTGATACCGATAGCGAGGAGCGCCCATTTCTAGAAAAACCTGCTTGGCTGGGGGTAAATTTAATCATAAACACACAGCAGTCGATTACGTCATGTGCGAAAACAAAACTATTTGCCGACTTTGCCTTTGCCTTTCATTTGAACTCAAAACTCGCTCGATTCAATCCGGGCACGAGCAGTTAAGCTTTAAAGAAATTGAAAGAAATACAAAGAAATCAAAATAGAAAAAAAAAATAAAGGAAAGCGGAAAAGGACGAGAAGCGTTGGGATATATCCATCAAAGCTGACTTTTTGTAGCCGCTCCCTTTCGAGTTGAGTCTAATCCGAGCAATACTGGAAATTTAAACAAAAAATGGCTACATTGGATTACAGATTGTCGCCGGGGCGAAAGTGGGGCGGCGTGGAGAGAAATGAGCATAAAAAGGGGATATAATAAACAAGCGGAGACATAGCAGTAGCGGATGCTTAGACCCCGACCACCGACGACATGTAAGCTGCTGGGCAAAAGTTGACTTTTTTTTTGTCCTGCTGCCGCCCCGGTTGTGTTTCTCTTTTATGATTATTTTTACTTTTGTTTTGGGCTAACGAGACGCATTCCGTGGTAATCCGTCCCCGGGGAAATGTTAAACCAAAGGGAGCCGCCGGCAAAGGTATCAGCGGTGTCCTGTCGAAAATCGCTTAAATGGACCATCAATGGTTCGGCCACGAGCCGAGAAATTGCCAAAGACATTAACACTGACGAAATGTTGATTAAACTGGCAGGCCCTTTGGGCCATCTTGAAATGGTCAACGGTCAATGGTCAACGGACAACGGACAACGGACAGCGGACAATGCGGGACGAAGGGAAATCTCTCGCTGTGAAATTGAATAATTTGCGAATACACATTCATACACTTGACTCCCAAGTGACCTTTGTCTAAGTTTACTCAGAGCAAAAATGTGCCTGAAATTGGTGAGATTAAAGGAAAGACAGTTCAATTATTATATTGATTTAAAGTTTTCACTCTTAATAAACCAATTGCCTAAATCTAAGAAAAACTTATTATTCCAAACTCAAAAGTAACTTTTTAAGAGCTTTCTTTTAGCATTTTACTCTCTGCCGATAAAATATACTTTTGAAGTATGACTTGACCTTTTCAAGTTCTTTATACATGAAATATTTATACCACACAGTTTCTGATATAAGTTTCTTATAAGTATTTTGAAGGGAAATTTCGAATGGAACAAACACTTAAGTTTGAACTCATCTTTGCACTCCAATTTTAGTTAGTCCTTTTGGAACAGATATGGACCCCTAGGTAAATCTCTATAACAGCAGATAGTTTTAAATGGAGTCTTAGATGTCATAGCTAGAAAATCTCAGCGGACTTCTGTCCCAGAAGTTCCTTGATTGCTTAATTCGGTTTTTCTCCGTGCAGGCAGGTGCCAGAGGTGGGGAAAATAAAAGGCTTATATATCATGCCCAAGACAGCGTCATCGCCCTGAAGAGGGTTTTCCCAGGCATTTTCCAGGGGTCAGGGGTCGGGGGCTGAGTGTGTTGGCTCAAGTGCCTGCCCCCAGGGCAGTGAATGAGGAAAACGGAGGACTTGGAGGACATGGTCGAAGGACTGCGGACTCTGGACCACTGACTCCGCCGTAGTAGGCAGCAGCAGCAGCCCAGGACAGTGTTTTCCGCTTTTCCGGACGAGCAAATGACCCGGAAAGGCCAACAGAAGGCGGCGCGCAAAAGGAAAATGTGGAAAATATGGCATCGGCCGGGTGGGCGGCGGCAAACAAAACTCACGGAGTAGGCAACAAAAAGTGGCAACGGAAACAATTGCAGTGACTGAGCAAATGTTTAGCAACCTGCCCCGAGGGAGAAATGGCGGAAAAGCCAAGGAAATGCCGAGGAAAAACAATGGGGGAAGAGAAGGCGGGGGCGCAGGAAAATGCTATAGTTTCTAAAGTCTGTGGCTGCGGCAAGTTGATATTTAAATCTGATTTACACCATCAAGTGTTTAGTCAAGTGCTTGCCATTCAGGACCTGAATCGCTGCCAGGACTCGCACTGCATTCTGGCTGCAAAATGACGGCGGGGAATGACGGGGTCACCTGGTGGCCTGAAATGCATACCTAATTACGTTAATGGCCGTGCCGGCCATAAATTAGTGGAGATTAGGCGGCGGCGGCCAAATTCGCCCGCACCTTCTGGCCAGGACCGAAACTTTTGCCAAATTGAACTGAAACTGGGCAGAAAGTTTCGAGCGATGCGGGCGCAGGATGACATAGTTATTGCCATGCGATGGCAGTGAGCGAAAAGTAATTATTATTATTATTATTGCTCTTTCGAGCAGCGCCGGTAAATCAATAAATTTACATAATCATTGTGTAAAAGACCAATTAATGGTGCTTTAAATACCAGATGGGCAAAGGTATTTTTCCACACATTACGCTGCCTGCCCTGAAAATATCGTTTAATTAAAACAAATATGCATAGATTACTTTAAACAAAGGCGGGCGTAAAAAGTTATTTCAGGCGAATTTAATTGCCGTTGAAACGTCGCTAATTGAAAAGTCCGAGCCGAGGGAAAACAACACAACTTTCGTTTTCCCCTCGAATAAGCATGACACGCAATGTTGAATGAAATGGAAATTAATCTAATTTTTGCGGGACAAGCGGCCACAAGGAGAACACGGATATCCTTTTAGGATATTCCGCCTCGGGCTGATGAACGTAATTAATCAAGCCGAAGTATGAATACTGATTTCCCAGGTCGAGAATGGCATTCTGTTTTGTTTTCGAGGCAGCATAAATATTATGATGCTGGGGTCCGCAATGCCAAACAATTAACACAGATCTTTGCTTTCACCTACTTGCAATTCTGCCACCGCCTGAAATAGCACCTGCCCCGCCCTCGCCCCCCTCACCCGTCACCTTCCACCACCCACCACCCACCGCCCACCTGGCTGAGGCCCATCAGAGTGCACTTCGCTGACAACTGCCAGCTACTTATGCATGTTGCTGCCACTGACAAGAAATTGCAGGAGAGACAGAAAGGCCGTCTGCAAGAAGGTTGTGGGTGGTGGGTGGTGGTTGGTTGGAGGTCGGTGGCGGAAAGTGCGCGGTAAGCAGGTAAAAAGATACGGGGGCTCCCAGTGATGTCAGATGCAGATTGCCAAACGGAAAGCCTTTGAGTAATGCGAGTTTCATTTAAATATTTTGAATTTTAAAATTGTTGCCAACCGTACTTTTATGCACTGTAAACAATTTTCTTTTTCAAATTTTTAATGACTAAACTTCTTAATATTAGGTTATTTTCAAAATGTTATATAGGTTTAGTCAATTGAAATATTTGATTAAAAATGTTAGTCAAACTCTTACCTTGTTATTTATTAATGATATAAGCCTCCTTTAAAAAATTGACACCAACATTTCGCATTTGATTAAAACTATAATTAAATGTTAACAAAATTTAGGGTCATCTCCCGAAAATAACAATAAATAACCATATTTTAGCAGTGTTTTTGCATATTTTAAAACTCCAGGTTGTCGCAAGCTCTAAGCTTGCAATACTAGTTATTTTGGTCTAGTACACAAACACTTGCCAAGGAATAGTATTAGCATAGAAAATGCGAGTATTCAAAAAGAATTGCAATCATCAGTCATCAGTTACGAATACCAATTAAGCTATAAAACCGCTAAGGTGACAGCACTGTTGCAGGCAAATGTTGCATTCCATGCAAAAGGCAACGACAAAAGGTGTTAAGAAAGCCATTTCGCCTGCTAATGAGTGACGATGCCTCTGAGTGTGTGTGCGAGTGTGTGTTTCCCAAGGTGTGAGTCTGTGTTTGCTCCCCTTCGCTCTCCACCATCCCCTCTCGCTCTTTCCAGCGGGTGTTTTTGTTTGTGTGTACCCGTGAGTCCTTGCCAGGACTTGAGCCCGAGCTGAAGAGCAAACAAAAATGTTTTCATGTTTGGGCCTGTCAACAGATTTATCCAGCCTGCCCAGCCCTGCCCCTCTTTTTCGGGTTTGTATCTGTTTGGGTGTGTGTGCAGAAGCATTTTGCTTAATTAGTTACAAACAGCTGAAACTGAGAGAAAGCCCCGAAGAACGAGAGGCAAAGAAAGGACTCACACCTATATATATATATATATATAGTCGTCTTTAAGGCTCCGCCAAATGTTTACAAATGTCGCAGCGTCTGCTGCGGGCAGCTATAGATAAAGATATTAGATTGGAGATACTAGTTACAAGAAGGATGCCAAGATGCGGATGCGAGTGCGGATGTGTGGGCAGGTGACACAAGTCAGCTCGAGATAATCCGATGAACTTGCCGTTTGTAGCATACTTATGGGGGCAACTGATGGTGTGAACAGTGCGCAATATATACATACGCACATTTATTCACACGGCAGCGTTCAGAAAATGAATGGAGTAATCTAGAAGTCCTTCCACACCATTTCAATGGACGTAATGTCACAACTTAATTAACTTCTAATAAATACGTCTAAATAAAATTAAACGTCCCCAAGTTGCGCTTGAAAAAATAATTCATAATTTTCGAACATATTTGTAATGTATTTTGAAAAAGATTTAAATTAAAAAACAATTTAATACTTATTGAGTTAATTTTTTAAAACTATTTGTTTGTATTAACTTATATTTGTTATTGATTAATTTTGAATTTTCGAGCAAAAATACTAGTTTTCACTAAACTTCGCGGCGCTTTATATTTTTTATTTTATAAGTTCATATATGTTATATATTCATTACACAATTTTTATACAAATATAATTTTGTTCATTTGATTGCTTAAACTTTCCACATTTACAAGATTTTGTCATTTGACCCAATTCATGTTAAATTAAATTAAACTGACATGTACATACCATTTTATTGTAAAACTGAGTTACATGACCCATAAATTTCCTCAATAAGACTGTTAGATAATTAAGTTTAAAAACGAGTATAAGTAAGCTAACCCAATTAATGAACTTGATGACTGAAGTTTAGGAACTGTTTATTACCTTTTTTCCCCCTCTTTTACTGCACGAAAGTAATGAAATATGAAAGGGTGGATACTTAATACTTTCAATTTTCGTTCGCTAAAGTAACGAGATTTTCATTTCTTTAATTACTGTTGTTCAAACTTAACGTGAAGGGATTCAGCACTAAGTTTAATTACTCGTTAACATTTGGGAAATAATAGAGAAATATAATCTTTATTTTCTACTTTTAATGCTTCTGAAGCATGGAATATATTTCATAAACTTGATACTTTTGTGGTATTCTTTTTTTCCGGTGGGCGCAGGGCATTAAACATTTTATTTCTTACATCCTTTGGCCATATAATGCGCCACCATAAAGTTAAATTGCACGTTTAATTACACGCTCATTACGCTGAATGCATTTTCCCGTTTTCCCTTTTCCATTTCCAAACCGCAGAGAAACTTAAAATGCTGGACATCACTCGCGACAAGCCGGTCAAGGTGGCCGTCAAAGTGGCGGTTCCTGTGCGGGATCACCCAAAGGTAGGTTGAAAAGGAGGCAGGGATGAGAAGGACCCTGGTGTGGAAACCAGTTAACGGAGGGTAAACATTTTCATTGCATCTTTGCATCCTTTGACCGGCCGCAACAGTTCAATTTCGTGGGCAAGCTGCTCGGACCCAAGGGCAACTCGATGAAGCGCCTGCAGGAGGACACGATGTGCAAGATGGCCGTCCTGGGACGCGGCTCGATGCGGGACCGCCGGAAGGAGGAGGAGCTGAGGGGCAGCGGCGACAGTCGCTACGCCCACCTCTTCGAGGACCTGCACGTGGAGATCTCGACCTTTGCGGCTCCGGCGGAGGCACACGCCCGGATCGCCTACGCGCTGGCGGAAGTGCGCCGCTTTCTGGTTCCGGTGAGTAGAGTCCACTCCAGTCCAGTTCACTCCAGTTGAGTGCCGTTGAGCTGGGCAGAGCGACCGTATTTGGGGCACCCCTCTCGGCATTGTTTGTGTTTAATACCCATTAATGATTTACTTTTCGTCCGCTCCACGAGCAGGCAAATGAGCATCTTAAAGTTTGCCGCGACACGGGGCTTAAAGTTATGCCAACGGGTAGTGCACTCGGAAAAAAGTGTACTCGAGCTTGGAAATACATTCGAAGAATATGCAAGCACTCAGCAAAAATGGTTGTCTTTGAGTCAATAATATATTAACATTTTTGATATATATTTTGGTCTTTAGCGCATATTAAAAACAAAAACATATCAATTTTCAAAACTCAAGGGTTAGAGTTGGTCGCAGTTCCCTAAATACGTTTCTTACTTTTTGTAAAACGGACCCCAAAAAATAAATTTTAAATTTTAATGTCAATATGTTAATCATATCAAAAATTTACTAAATAGAAAGCTAAGACCTAATTGCGGAATGCTTTTACTTTTAGAATAAGAGTTTAGTTTATACAAAATGTTAAATATATTTTATTTAATTCAGTTTTATAAATTATAAATAAGAGCGTTGGTTTTTCATAAACAAATTAGACTTCCATAAATTAATTTCATATATCTCAAAATTTCTATATTCAACTTTTGTAGTTAGTGGTGGTTTGCTCGCTTTTAGGATATATTTTCGAGAAAGTCACGTTTGATGAGCACCTTTTCTTTCAACTTAGGAAACTGTGTTTTGCTTGTACGAAAGTTGTCCGAACTCGCTGACGACTTTAATTAAAGTCAAATTTGTGAAAGTCATGGCAAATAGTTTTGAGAGTGTAGGTTGGTCTGGAGCTGCGCGGACTCCTCCAAGGTTGGGCTCGTTATCGACTTCAGCTTCCGTGTTCGCGTGGCATGCAGCAAGTTTCCTGCTCTCCGCGCTCGCTGACTAAATTGCATTGTGCTGTAATTACATTTGCCACCCCCTCGGCACTCGAGAGGTGGGCGTGGCTCGCCCACTTCGTCCTGCTTGGCCCTGGAAATGGGAACTTCTGGCTGGCATCCTCCTTTGGCCATTGTGCGGCGCTCGACACGCCATCGTCGTCACCATTGCCATCGCCAGATCGCCATATCGCCATAACGCCATGGCCAACACTGCCAGCTTGTGGAGCCATGGTGTGCGAAAGGGGATTTCCCTTTGCACCCCTGGAAACTCACCCCTCCACTTGAGACACAAATGTTAACCGTTTACTATCTGCAGCCTGCAGACAGGGATACAGGGATACAGGGATAGAGGGATACGGGCGGATTGGGAGTCCTGCAGGCGGCAAGTCCTGGGCATCATCCTCACTCGCCCGGCGCCGGCATACTTTATTTATATATCTTCTTTAAGATGCAGGCAGAAACGTGGGGTGTGCGCATGGAGCAATTTAAACGGAATGCCGGGTCATCTATCTGGGGTATCCGGCCATTGCAGTGCCCGTATCCGAGAGATGGGGCGAATTACAAATGAGCGCCGTACATCCTGCTTATTGCAAATTATACCTTGAGACCCCATGCTTTGATCTATAATTTCCCACAAAATTCAATTCGCACCGCCCTCCCATTGTTTTGAAGTCGGGGCTTAAGCAGCCCTTCCTTCACATCATCCACATCCACATCCACATCCACATCATCGTCTGCAGCAGCAGTTCCAGTTCAAGAGGATCCGGATGAGCTCGAAGCTGGGGTCGGGTAACCTAATATATTGACATCCTGCCCGACCTTTGACTGGCAGCTGTTGGCAACATTGAAACTGTGTGTGCTCTGGTCCCATCCAGATTCTCGCCCTGTGAGTTATTCCGATCTGATTACACACGACGAAAATTTGCATAGAAATTATTTGATATCACAAACGCAGGGCGGCGACGAAAGGCGATGAAAGCAGAAACTGTTTCAATTTAGATAAATTGCTGGGGTTACTTTGTGTGTGTGTGTGTGGTTGTGTGAAGGTTTTTTTTTATTTTGGCTGTGAAGTCTGTGCGATTCTGATCTGCGACATATTTAAACCTCACCCACCTGGCGGGAAATTGTTTATGGCATCTGCAATCACGATTTATGTGTTCGCCAGCGAGTGCCATAAAAACGTCGTCTTGTGTGACAGTTTTAAGGATACTTAAAACCTAGGAAATGGGAGTGCCGCATACATATGTTGAATGCGATTCAGAGATTTTCATAAACAAGTTAGTTGGTTAATGGGGTTGATGAAATGTGTATCTACCGGGTTGGAGTTTTCAGCGTGCGTGTATCCATCGCATCCAGGCCCACCGCCATACCGCCACCCACATAATTGCATTAAGCACTCACAGATACCCAGATACACACACTCATGTACCCAAGTGTGTGTGTGTGTGTGTGTGTGTGTATCCCGGGGCCAGAAATGGAATCCGCTCAAAGGGTGTTCCGCCGGCGACACATGAAACGTGGCTGCGCACAAACTTTTAATTGACATCCAATAAAATTCGCATTTATTGCCAGCGACGTCGGCGAGGGAAACGTGAATTAAATTTAATTGTCCGACTGAGGTGTTCCAGTGGCATCACCACTAATCCCCCAAGCGATGGACAGTATCATTCTTGCCCCGGAATTGCTTTACGCCGGAAGGGGCTTGGATAAACTTGTGCCAGAAAAAGATACTCTAACTATACTCAGTGAAGAAAATGTAGGTCTTTAATCAGGGGCAAACTTTGGCAAAACCTCTCTGAGTTTAACAATACTTTATGCAAGTAAGCTAATTCTTCATTGAAGAGCCATATTTCTAATTGTCACATAATTGACTGTAGTGTGCTTCAGGAATTACTTATTATATTATTAAAATATAGGAATTTAGGAAACATATTTAAAGAGTAATATTAGTAGAATATAATAACACGGATAAAATAAACTCTAGTCATACGATAGCTATATGCTATTATTAATTTGCCATAATTAATTAGTTTTAATCTCATGAACTTAAGAATTAAACTTAAACAAGATATAACGAATGTTATTTGCATACCCAATCACATTTCCAACTGGGTTTGGTTGTGGGTTTTCATCTTAACACTTTCTAAGCTACCTATGGGACCTAAAGTCCAATCCAATCTCATCACTGAATCGCTCATCTCTTGAACGCAGGACTACCACGATGACATCCGCCAGGAGCAGATGTGGGAGATGCAGGCGCTGACGTCCACGCCCGCACTGGGTGCCCACTCGCTGGAGGACTCGCAGAGTCCCACCATCAATACCAGCAACCAGGTGGGCGGTGGCGCCACCACCTCCTCCTCCAGCGGGGCCAGTGGGCGTGGCCTGGGCGGCGGACTGGCCGACATGGACACGTCCAACGATGACAAATCGGACGATGCCAGCGGCATGGAGTGCCTGTCCGCAGTCGACAAGCTCGACTGCTCGTCCAGCTGCGCCAGCCTGGGAATCAGCGGAATCACGACCATCAGCACGACCAGCTCCGAGCATCCGCATCCGCACCAGCACCAGCACCACACCCACCTGCACCCCGCACACGCCCACGGAAACCAGCAGCAGCAGCAGCAGCAGCAGCAGCAACAGCAGCAGGTGCACCACCACCAGCAGCAGCACCACCATAGCCATAGTCACAGTCATAGCCACCAGGCGCACTTCCACCAGCTGCTGCAGCAGGCCCACGGCGGAGCAAGTGCCGCGGCGGCGGCTGCCTGCGGGGAGCATCTCTCCGGACAGGCGACTCCTACGACGGCGGCAGCACGTAAGTGGACTCCGGCCGCAGTGGGCTCGACTCTTAATTGGAAATTACTGCTCAGCTGCCTTTGATGCAGTGCATGACAGAGCCAATGAACACAATCCAGCTACAGTCGAGAGTCGAGTCCATTCAAGCTGTAATACTCTTTCAGGGGATGATATGCACTTAAGCGGGACTTTACCTCACTATATTATTTACGAATTTACATATTTAAAGGTGGCGTTTTAATGCCACATCTTAAGTGGCGACTTTCACACGAACGTTGTTGCATGAAATTCAGAAATAATTTCCCACAGAAAAGTTCAATCATATTAAAAAAAAATGTTTTTATTTTAAAATAAATGTACTTACAGCCAGTCCTTTCAGATCTTATATCTCTTAAGTAAAAGGAGATTCAATACATTTTGTTTTTGGTTAAAATTAAGACAGTACCAGCTAGTACACAAATTTTAAACTACACTCAGTAAACAAAATTAATTGATTTTAGAAAAAATTGACTTAATTTGAGTATTAGTTGCTTAAAAGTCATATGGAAGGCTTAAATTTATTTCCTAAATTTAAGTCCTTTTTCCCTAAAATCAAAGAATTTTGTTATCTGAGTGAACCACTCCCAACAATTATAATTTAAAGCATACCAAAATACATTTGTTGGAAAAAAGTTTAAAGTGTAGAACTCATAAGTACTGATTACTGTCATTGAATACCTTATTTTTCTTTAATTAGCATTACGCTTTTAATTGATTTCGAATAGGAACCCCCTTTGGACCTTCTTGCAATGTCAAAAACTTGAAACAGAATTAATTGGCTTTCGAATTAGTTTGTTGCAGACCAAAATTACAGTTTTGTTTTGAGCACCCTAACGGTTGAACTTAATTGTGATACAAAACACAAAGGAATCTCTCCAGAAGAGCATTCTGAGCTTCGGTTACCAAAGCCAGTCTCCTACTCCCTTTGTTTAAAGTAATCCTCCAGCTGCCACTCATCCGGTTCCCGTTCTCTGACCAACAGTGCACACCACAGCCATGGCAGTGGCACTCCAGCATCAGTTGACAGCCGCAGGAATCGGTGGACTCCTGAAGCCGGCCACCGGGGTGGGGGCCACCATGGCCGGCCTGCCCACCACCCAGGCGGGAGTGGGAGTGGGCGTGGGCGTGGGTGCCGCCGCCCTGCAGTTGTCCGGCGACGGGGAGTCATCCGGATCGACGCTCACGCTGCTGGAGCCACCGGGCACCGCCCTTCTGCATCCCGCTCTGCGCAACGTCAAGACCATCAACATAGGTGAGTCCTGGCAGCTGAAGCTTCGCTTCCTCAGCTAATCTCGATAAGTGCGCAAGGAAAAGTCAAAGGCAATTAAGCTGTCGTTCAAAACATAGTAGAAATGGTTTTAGCTCTTTAAGAAATCATAGAAAATGGCAAGTTTAGAAAGAATTTCATATTTAATTTAAGAACCTTTCAATTTTGTATACAACTTTTTAAGGAAACATAAATTTGAACAACAGTCCAGTAATTTGACAATTGTGAAATCGATAAATATAACATTTTAAATATCCAGAATATCATGTTCTCTTTTCTATAATTGCAACAGCTTGAATAATGACAGTTTGTAAACAATTTAGTTTGGTACACATATTAGTATTTTTCCTAAACAACTTTGTCTATGATGTGGAATACTTATTATTTGAACATAGTTTGATCAAAAGATATTAAAATCTACAGTTTAATACCGATATATTTTGTATTTATGGGTGCTAAAGAAATCTTTAGGTTTTTCAAATCACTAATAAGGTTTTTTTTACAATATTTATATACTTTGAAGGTCCAATAGATTCATTTTGAGTTCATTGCATAGTTTCAGAGAACTCAATAAATTATTTCTATAGCAACCCATTAATTTAATGTAAAAAAGGCACTAGCAATAACAGAATGTTGGTGATATTTTTATTCTGTGCATTAGGTGGCGGATTGGGAAGGAAGCGCCCGCTGTTGGGAGTTCCCCGCTCCGGAATGAACCCCACCAAGCGGACGGTGATGAGTCTGCTGGCCAGGGCCAAGAATTCGCAGGCGCTGCACTCGGTCCGCCAGCCGATGGTGACGGCCACCAGTTTCGCTGAGTGAGTTGCCCCCTAACGGAGAGGAGCCAGCACGTACTCCGATTGCGAAGAGTTAACGGGGAGCGGGGAACTTATTTCAATTGACTTTGTTCTTAGACCCTTGCAGATGCTGGCCTCGCCCTTCATCATTCCGCACCAGGCGGTGGACCAGCCGATCCTGGCGCTATCGAAGGAGGGCCTCGCCCAGGGCGTCTAACCCAGTGACCTGCTCCACTTGCGGCTGCCCAGATAGACCAATCTGACCGAATACCACCTGCCCCGCCTCCCAGCAAGAATCTCGAGGGGATTACCCAATATTACTAAGCGATGTTGGCGCAGCTGATGCGCACTTTCCACGTAGTAAGGCTATACCGATCTTTAGGGACTAACTGTGAACTTATCCGAGCGAAATCTCGAGCTCGTGCTACACGATTTTATTTTTTACAGAGAATAAACGGAGCGTCTATTTGCAATGCGATGTTTTATTTCCACAGATGCAAGCCTAGGCCAATAACAAAAAAAAAAAACAAAGTCGAAACGTTCGATGTAATGGAACAGAGTTTAAACGTTAAACTAAAGAAATTGAAACCTAAAATTAGTGTCAAATTAAAATGAGAGCAACTTCAATAGAAATAAATGTAAACGCAATTACTTTAAACAAATTACTTTAAATAAATATACACACAAATACGAATGCGAATGCAAAAACCGAACACGAGTACCATAAAAGATATATATACAAGACATACGAACACGTATACAAGCATATACCAATATAAATATGTGTGTACTTAAATCTATATTAACTTAAGATTAAACCAAACCAAACCAAACAAAACTACTAAATTAATGAGATAATACAATAATTTTAATGTATTTTAACAGCCACAAAACGAGGACAAAGTCAAGCCGAAAATAAAAGAGAAGAAAGGAAATGGAAATGGAAAGAAATGCAAAGAAAGGAAAGTAGAAGGATATAGAAAGTTGAGGTAGAACCCCCGATCAGAGAGATCCCACCGCCTTCAGCTTGCGTTGCCTGATTGATTCCACTTTGAGTCCCCTCAGATCCAAAGCTACAGCTGATAGATATGATAGTTCGGTTTCAGTTTTAGAACGGAAAGTTTCAGAACATCGAAAGCAGCGATCGCCTATAGAGTTATATTTTTTGTTCAGATTATATATACACGCACTCACGGATAGAGTATGGAAAGGTCTATGATCTGAGTCTAGCTAGATGTTACATCCCCTCCACTTCACTGCGATGCTTCGATTTACTCAAATGTATGTTTATGTATGATATTGAGACTATAGGAATTTGATCTCACAGTTATATGGCGAGTACTTTGTGAGCCACTGTACCGAGTACTCCAGCAGATAATTCCGATTTCACGTCGAGAGTTCACTTTAGCTAACCAGTTACTTTGTTAACTGTGCACAACCCACATAGTACATAAATAGTACTTAAATAGCGTTAACCGATATACAATAAAATAACAAACATTACTCAATAAATGTTCACAGAAAGTTTAATCAAAAAACAAAACGAATATTTACAGCGTAAAGTAAAAGTAGAGTTAAAGCAAAATATTGATGTTCAAAGAAAGCAAATCCGTGAAAGGTCCTACTCATGTCATTAATGTAGATGTCAAATATGCAAAACGAATTAAATAATTAAACCAGTCTTAAATGTGAAAAAATTTCAGCAAAATTCCACCACAACCACCAAATACCACACAAACCGCCACCACTACCACCACCACCACAAACAACAACACAGCTTCGAGCTATTCACAAATAAAATGCAATATTTTAAAAATAAAAGTTAAAGAGTTTTACTACCTCTTTTTGATGGCAGGTAACAAGGTAACGTCAGTTCTTTTTAACTTAGTGCTTGCTGGCTTAATAAAAAGTGATACTGAAATGCACTCTCAGGAGACTTTGTTCCTTTTGACTATTAGTTCCGGAGATCCAGTTTTATCCAGCAGGTTTTTCTCTGTGGCTGAGTTTTATGTGCCCCCTTTATACCTTCCACAAAATAGCTCAGGTGAGAAAGATATAAGCAGATGGATGGAGAAGAAATGAAAAGTTTAATGCAGCTTCAAGGTAAGGCACGTTCTTGTACAGATAAAAATATAATATAATTTTTCTTTTAAAACACATTTAAACTTCCTTTGCTGGTGCTTTGTAAAGTAGAATTATGATTTAGAAAAAGAGGATAAACACTTTGAAACTCTATGTGACTAACGAACTAAAGAAAAACTTCAAAACTAATAGCGTTAAATGGCCCTTAAAATAAATAAAAATATTATTTAATTTAAATGCATTAATAGTAACAGTTATAGCTTTAATGACATTTATGCTTTTACTATAATAAGATAATTTTGTTCTTTAAGAACCCAAACAAGTGTTTTGTAGAATAAACTAAAGTCATTGTTTAATCTTTGAGAAAATTCCTCGATCTGATTTTCTCTTCAGCGACTTGAATCAATTCCAAACAAATTTTACATTTCTTTTCTGCGTGTACATTTGTTTTTATGCTCAATACATAGTCGCCAGCTCGAGCCAACTGTCCGGAAAAAGCCGTAGGAAGTATTTGCGCGTGGATTCGAGGAAGACCAGGAGGGCAACGAACGGGCAGATGGTCCAAAGAAAACGGCCAAAGCTGAAACAATGAGGAACCAATGTCAAGATGTCAAGCTGCCGGATGTCATGCTGCCGGAAAAAACCCACTTCAGTTCGTTGGTCACCTCCAGTCGCAGGCAAACAGTGGCGTCCAAACGGGAGATCCCCACGCAGAGGCAAATCAAACAGACGACTGCCGCAGTTAGCCGCCAGTTGTCGAAGCCATGGGTGAGCAGGTTGGCACGTCCCGTCTTGGTCAACACCAGGTTGGTGCACTGCATCGTGATCAGGCTCATCAGGCAGAGGGCGGACGCCTGGCACTCCAGTCTTTGCCGAGCTGCACTGTTCTGCGGGAGAATCGGAGTTGCGTTTAGTTGACTGCCCCGGTCAAGTTAGCTGTTTCTACCCATTCCTGGCCAAATGCGTCGGTGATGACGGTGGCCTCCTTGTCGTGCCACATGATGTGATGACCCACCAATGTCCTGGGCACAAATCCCTTGTCAGCCATGTACACAAAGTAGGTAATGAAAACAGCAGCGGCTTCGATGGTTCCCACAAGGATGTGGGACACTAAAAGTAGTCTGCAATATGTTTCGGAGAAATATGAGAACGTTATCAATTTATATTAGAAATAAATATTTAAATTGTTACTAAATTTGTAAAGCCTATGTTATGTGTTTAAAAAACTATCCATTAATTTTTGCAATCAATTTTGGTCTTTAAAAATATAGATTTTTTAATGAAATGTTATTCTTTTTCTTAATAATCAAACAAACTCTTCAAGAGTTAAAAAATTCGTGACGATCGCACCTTTAGCATACAAAATATGTGATATAAAATTGTGTGACGAAAGTTGAATAAGCATTCAATTTAATAAATGCACTTTTTAAATGTTTCCATGTACTGTTGTCCATAGTGATTCGAAAAAAAAATTGATAACTCCAAAAACAGTGCTAAACCTGATACAGATTTAAACATTTTCCAGACTACGCCATTAAAATTAAACTCGTCCTTTCCGGAAATTCAGACCTTTAAGCTAAACGACCCCCAGTCCCAAGAATCCCAAATTATCGTATGTCGAAAATACTCAAATGTATAAGAACCACAAAATACAAAATACAAATTAGAAAGACAAGCCAAATCGAATTCCTAAAACTGTAAAATTTGAGCAAATGTTGCCGGCAAACACCTCAAAGAATTAATATGGTGGCAAATCTTAATTCATGTTGTGTTTTTCCTAAGGGATCGATATGCAGTTAGTATAGGATTATCATAAAAGTAAAACTTTTGCCAATGCCTTGATTTAATGACAAATTTTATAAGTTATTAATTTAATGTACAGAAAGCATAGTTATTGTCGTATTATTTTGTGAGTACAAACATACCGACTATTAAGCAGAAAATCATCGTAGATTTTGGGCATCTGCTGCATCAGTTTCTCCTCTGGGGGCTCATAAATTAGAGTCATGGCAGGTAGCTAAGGGAAATTTTCGTTTTGCTGCAGTACAGGAGAACAGGAGAACCAAATTTTATGGGACCCCGACCACGAGTCCACTTACCAAATTCACGAAGAAGGCCAGGATGAGCTCAGGCATGATGTGGATGTGAAAGGGGACGCGGAGCAGGAAGAAGGCGGTGTACACCAGAATGGAGGTGGTGTTGGTGGCCAAGCAGTAGGCCAGAGCCTTCTTGAGGTTCTCGAACAACAGACGACTATCGGCCACGACACTAACCAAAGTGGCAAAGGAGCTGTCCAGCAGAATGAGATCGGCACTGGCCTCGCACATGACGGCATACCCGAACTTGGCCACGCCCACATGGCCGCTCCTTATGGCGGGTGTGTCATGGAGGGAACTTCCGATGACGGACACGACTGCTCCCAGTCGGCGACAGGCGTCCACGATCCAGTGGAGTTGATCCGAGCTCGTGTCGGCACACACCAAGTCGCGGCGATCCAGAAGCAGCTGTTCGATTTGCCAGCGCTGGTGGTGCGGCTTCTGGTCGGCTAACTTGGACATGTCCACTATGTCGGTGTTAACCAGAGACCCTCTGGCCTGAAACGCCTCCCAGGGTGCCGCCAGGATGCCCACATCTACGGCCAGCGCCTTGGCCAATCTGCGTTTGCGGCGCGTTACCAGGATCAACTTAATTCCCGCCGATCGGCAGCGAACCACTGCCCGGGGAATGGTGCTCCTCGCCGGATTGTGTGTGGCAATTATGCCAAGAAACCTCAGCGCGAAGGTGTCCACGGCCAGGTAGTCCCGGTACTTGTGCTCCCCGTCCTCCAAGCCCGTGCTGGTGCTCACCTGCGAGAAGCGTCGCAGCTCCAGCTCATTGCTCAGCTCCTTGTAGGCAAAGGCGCGAACGTGGCGTCCCGCCTCCAAGAGCCCGTCCGCCAGGTTGAGGACGATGTCCTGCAGCTGGCTGTCCAGCGGCAGCTCCTCGCCACGGAGGCCGAAGGTGGAGCAGCGACGCACCACCACGCTGCAGTGACCCTTCATCAGCAGGATGAGCTTCGGCTGGCCGTCTTCGCCGCGAGTCCTGTGCACCGTGACCTGCATCTTGTCCGCACTGGTGTAGTACTTGTTGGCCACCTTCTCGTGGTCGCGACGCAGCTGGTCGATGTTGGGCAGCACCAGCAGGCCGAACTTGAGCAGAGCTATGTCGAGGATATTGCCGTACATGTCCTTCTGCATCTTGGGCACTCCGATGTTTCCCGGGCAGATGACCGCATCGTTGCAGAGAACCGAGGCCCGGACGAGCTCAATGAAACGCGCACTTTGGGCATTCAAATCTAAGTTTTCGGCGCTCAACAGTTCCATGTCCACGAAGATCTCGGATACCCGCATCCGGCGCTTGGACATCGTGCCCACCAAATCGCTAACGATCACCGTGCTGAGGCCCACTGTGGTGGTGCTGCGCAGGTTCCTCGCATAGCACTGCTTCTTGTTCATCTGTTTCTTTGTCCTCCGCATGCCCCAGTAGACGATGAAGGGCAGGTAGAAGGGTGTCAGGGCAATCAGGAGTGAGAGATTGACTTCGTACAACATTTTACCTCTCTCCAGTCCGGTGGTCCAGAGCAGCAGGATGAACACTATTGCGGTTATCACGAGCGTATAATAACCAATCTGGAAGGGTCAAGCCGTTAAGGGTAGTCTTCTCGACTCACGAACATTACGTACTTGCGTCTGGTGCCTTTCCATTCGACTTGGAGGACGCTCCCGGAAGCTGAGTGCCGTCATCGTTCCCACATCGGTGTCCTTGCCACAAGCAATGGCCACGCCGAAGCCATAGCCCTTCATCGCATGACTGCATGCGAAGCCCACGTTGTTGGAGCCCCATTTCGTCACAGGTTTGGTACTCATGCCGAAGTAGGTTTAATTCTAAAACTGGCACATTAGGAAAGGATATCTATGATTTTTAGAAATATGTGATAGATAGTGCGACCCAAGACGAGCCTGCTTGATTAATCTAACCACCGAGACTTCGAGGAGTGTATTAGCAATAAATTGATTCGGCCTATTGGGACTTTGAGATTGGGAAGATTCAGTCTTGGATGTTTTTATGCATTTTTAAAAACTAGAACTCCGAACTTGTATCCCTTGTTTAAATATAATGTATTCTCATACCAGTTTAATAAGTTAAGCCCCTAAACAGAATTAAAATGTTAATGTTAGTTTAAAAGTCCCCTATGTATTCCACTCTGGAGAATCGATGCCGTCCCTCGTTCGACAACGGAATGATGTTCACGGGCTTCGAGTATCCTGTCAGAGCCACGTTGTCAACCTCCAGACCCGAGGAGCTGAAGAATCGCAGATCGGCAGGAATCCGTTGGCCGTATCTGATGGGCACAATATCGCCAATGACAACGTCCTCAGTGAGGATGACCACCTTTTTCCCGCCCCTTAACACAGTGCAGTACATGGGCATTAGCTCATCGAATGCCATGACCATATCCTCGTTATTGTCATCTTGCAGATAGAGCACAAGTCCTGAGAGAAAGAAACAGAAGAGCAGGACGATTCCGGCTACTAAAAACTCTGGATCGATTTTTCCTTTGACTTTTGAGTCAGTTTCGAATGTGAAGTATATGGCAAAACAGGCAAAGGAGCACAGCAGAATGAAGATGCCCAAGGTGCTGAAGCAGTCCTTTAGGTATTTCCAAAAGTGCACATCCTGTTTGAGGGGAAGCGGCAGGACATTCTTGCCGTTTCGGGCTAGCTTTTCGGCCGCCGCCTTTGCCGTTAGGCCCTGTAAATGGTTCCTAGGTTAGATATCTACTGATTGGTCTCGTGATTATTACCATCTCACCTGACGGACATTCGTCTCCAATCTGGAGCAGAGCTCTTCAAATGGCCAGATGTGCAGATATGGGCCGTAGATCTCCTGCCACAATTCATTCTCCGTCTTACGCACTTCCTCCTTATCCCGCTTCCTGCCTTTGCGACTCCAACACCTACACCTACGTCTACACCTCCCTTTCCATTTCGAGATCTGTTTCCGCCAGAGCACCATGTCTACGGAAAACTCCAAGCAATTTGTGGAGCCTTGTTTTCGGCATGTAGAGTTGGGAAAATGGCTCGTAAAACTGCCATCAATGTTGTCACATAAACCAGCCGTGCGACTCCCAATGTCACCCAGTTGGCCCCGGGTCAGGGGTCAGGGGTCACGGGTATTGGGGGGAGGGGGGTCATAACGGTGGCGAGGAACTCAACTGCTCCACTGGGAGTGGCAATCGAAATCGCAAATCGACTCGAATTGATACGCCGCCTCCTCGCAAACAATTGCGCCCAAAGGCCGATGCCGTGATATTGACACTGGCTTGCTGACATGTTCCACGCCGTATTTACAAGCGGACGGAATGCGCTCTTTATGGCCTCGTTTAATAAGTCATCAAATTTCATTGCTGCGAAGTAAAAAACAGATAAAACATGCATTTGCATATATTTATGGGATGCGGGGCCCCATCAATGGAAACGAGAAATTTCTGCGTTTGCGCTCAATAAGTTCGAATTGGAACAAACTACCCTGGCGAATCGGATGATATGTGGCATTGTTGGCGGTCAATGGGTTTGTTTGTGGCAGGATAAAAACGGCATTAAATTCAGACAAATCGTATTGTATTTTTAATTAGGCAGCTATGACTTTTTAATTTGCATTCAAATGACTAATGCATACGTTTGTTCCAAAGATGTCAAGTGGGAAAAAAATTTTTGAAAATGTAGCTTTTCTTCGCTAACACGACTTTTAATTTTAACTTTCGTTTAAAAAGATATAAAATAAATATGCTTATTGTTTACTTAACGTCAAATTTATAAAGGTACAACAAATACCGTTCAGGATGCTTACCAATCGAAAAAAGTTTTAGAAACGAAAAAATTATTGAATATGAGAAAATTTAACCTTTGATGCAGATCAAAGTGAACAATGTGGATCAATAAAGATAATGCCAAAGACCTCTGATTTTGAATACGGCTTAGTTAGATATCTAACAGTTATGGACTCAAAAAAGTTATAATTGGAAATATTTCATGATAACTGGGTTAATTCAATATATATTAATTTACATAATTCCTTTTCCAGTCTTGTTTAAAATTTTTAACAATTTTTATCCCAAATCGAGCCACCCCAGTTCAGATGTATCTTAAACTTTTAATATTCGCAGTGCATGGTGTTCTCTACTAAACAATAAAAGCTTTGCTTTCTCTCATTCTTAACCAGCTGATCACGAGCGAAAAGAGCTTTTTCAGAGCTTTCAAGAGAGGAGAGATCGGAACATATACTGTATATCGACCACCTGTATATATACGGCATGTGGCACTTGCCGTCCGCTCAGTCTTAATTTTCCACTCTCCGCGAAACACAAAACAGAAAAAAACATAATGTCCGGCAACAAATACTGCTTCGCCATCGATCGCGGCGGCACCTTCACGGACGTAATGTGCATCTGTCCCGGCGGAACAGTACGCACCATGAAGCTGCTCTCCGAGGATCCGGAGCGCTACAGCGATGCACCTCGCGAAGGCATCCGGCGGATCCTCAAAGAGGAGACCGGAGAGGATCTGGCAGCCAGTGGCTTGGTGGACACCTCGAAAATTGGTTGGGTTCGCATGGGCACCACGGTTGCCACCAATGCTTTGCTGGAGCGCAAAGGAGATCCCGTGGTTTTAGTGGTCAACAGTGGCTTCCGGGACCTCTTGTACATTGGCAACCAGGCGAGACCGAAGATATTCGACCTCCACATCCGAAAGCCAGCGAATCTATATAAATCTGTGGTCGAGGTGGACTGCCGCATAGTTCCCCAGCAGGCGGATCGCTGTGAGCTGAGTAAGTGAAGATGCTCCATAAATTATACCAATCTCAAGTGCTAAATACATATATATTATAAAAAAAACAGATCACAGCTGGAAGGTGCTGGAGGGTGTGGCCGGCACCAAGTATCTGGAGGTGCGACCAGTTGATGAGGTGGCTATCCGACAATCCCTCTCAGTTGCCCGGGATCAGGGTGTCTCCTCCGTGTCCGTGGTGCTGGCCCACAGCTACGCCTGTCCGGAGCACGAGCTCCAGGTGGGAGCCATCGCCCGGGAGCTGGGCTTCAGCCATGTGACGCTGTCCCACCAGGCCATGCCCATGTGCCGGGTGGTGGCCCGAGGCTATACGGCCTGTGCGGAGGCCTACCTGACGCCCCATGTGGATCGCTACCTGGCCAGGTGAGTACATCTAATCTCCGGCTTGTAAATTTGCCGAATGACCCAGCTCTTTTCGGGCCCAAACATGTTTTTAGCTGCAATGGGGAGAGTGGCCATAAAGATAAGCCCGTAGTCAGTCTAAAAGTAGAATAAAACCCATCCGAGCAAACATCAAAAGCTGAGATCCCTCATAGGGTTACGTAAAGTAAACAAATAGAGAATATCAAGCGGCACGGCTTCGTTAAGGGTTCCGACTCTAGAATACCTCGTAATGGGGTAAAAAACTGAAAAAAGTCCTGGAAATCAATAAAATGGTTCCTCAATTGTGAATATGGGAAATTGTTAAACTTAAGATTGCAATATTTGTATTAAGTGTTTTACTCTATAAACATTCAGTAAGGTGTTCAATGGAATTAGAACTTGGGCAATCTTAAAGATCTTTATTTAGCTTTCAAATATAAACTTAGGGAAAATGATTATTTATTTAAAGTTTTTTATATGAATTTATTTACTGTATAAAGTTTTTTACCGTAGAAACATTCACTTAAGAATTCAACTGATATGTTTTTCTACTGTCTTTATATATTTAGCATATCTTATCTTATCACGATATACCCAAGTTTCAGGAGGGTATAAAAACAAAACAGTGAGAACTGCGTTGTTATTATAGACCGGTGGTTAAAATATGGGATCAAAATCAGATTTTTTTTTCAATATAAATGGTGTTTTCTATAGTTTCAATTCAGGCTTCGACCAGCAGTTTGGGGTGGTGTTCAGAATAAAGAAGACATCTTTCTTCATTATTAATTAAAACTCCAATCTAATGGTGATTTCTTATCCTATAGCTTCAAATCTGGCTTCGACAAGCAGTTGGAGGGCGTGGATGTGCTGTTCATGCAATCGGACGGAGGCCTGACCAACATGGAGAACTTCCGTGGGGCTCGAGCCATTCTCAGCGGTCCAGCGGGAGGCGTTGTGGGCTATGCTCTGACGGGAGCCCGGGAAACGGAGCTTCCGCTTATCGGCTTCGACATGGGCGGTACCTCAACGGACGTGTCCCGCTATGCGGGAACCTATGAGCACGTGATCGAAAGCACCACGGCAGGGGTAACCATCCAGGCTCCTCAGTTGGACATCAATACCGTGGCTGCAGGCGGCGGATCGCGGCTTTTCTTCCGATCTGGCATATTTGTAGTGGGTCCAGAATCGGCCGGATCCCATCCCGGACCTGCTTGCTACAAGAAGGGAGGTCCTCTGACAGTCACGGATGCCAATCTCATTCTGGGTCGCATTCTGCCGCAGTATTTCCCCAAGATCTTCGGTCCCAAGGAGAACGAACCACTGGATCATGAGATCGCCAGAAGTAAGTTCGTCGATTTGCAGACGGAAATCAATGAGTACTTGAGGGCTTCTGGCGATAATCGTGTTCTGAGCGTTGAGGAGGTGGCCCTCGGTTTCATTCGGGTGGCCAACGAAACCATGTGCCGTCCCATTCGAGCATTGACCCAATCCCGAGGACTGGACACGGCCAACCATGTACTCTCCTGCTTTGGAGGAGCTGGTGGTCAGCACGCCTGCGCTATCGCGCGTAATCTGGGAATAGCCAAGGTGGGTAAAAACTATTTTATATGATTTAAACACACATTAAATTTTATATAATTTTAAGAAATATACTGTTCAAAAGTTACTCCTCTTATTGATTTTAGTCAAACTTTTTAAAACTATTATAATTTTGTGTCAGACAAAAAATTTCTCTTGAAAGGTAAGAAGTTTAATTTTTAATTGATATGAAATAATTTAAAGATTGTTTTGGATGGTCAATAACCATTTTTAACTTTTGTAACTTTTTTTTTTATCAGGTTGTGGTCCACAAATACGCCGGAATACTATCGGCCTATGGAATGGCTCTGGCCGACGTGGTCCAGGAGGTTCAGGAGCCGAATGGCCTGGAGTTCAGCGATGCAAATGCGAAGCAGCTGAAGGAGCGATTAGATGCGTTGTCGAAGCAATGTCATGATAAGTTAGCTGAGCAGGGATTCAAAAGGATTGAGCTTGAGCCCTTCCTCCATTTGCGATACGAAGGCACCGATGGCGCCTTAATGGTTGCTCCGGCATCTAGAAAGCAGTCTTCGGCTACAAATCCCTTGCTGGTGGCCTACGGCGACTTCAATGCCACTTTCCTGGAGCGGTATCGCACGGAATTCGGATTCGTATTGCAAAACAGACGCATCATTGTGGATGATATTCGCATTCGAGGATTGGGCAAGAACGAGACACCACCGGAGTCGGAAATTCCAAATGCCTCCGAATTGACGCCCCCTGCCGAATCGGGTTCACGTTGTCGCCTTCACTTTGATCAGGGCGCCTTCGATGCTCCGATTTACCTGACCAAGAACCTCTTGGCCGGACACAAGATCGCCGGACCCGCGGTGCTCATAGATCAGCTCTCGACCATTGTGGTGGAGCCGGAGTGTGGTGTCCAAGTTACCCAGTTCGGAGACCTCATCATGGACGTGAAGACGGGTGGCAAGCATGGCATCAACGCGGACTTGGACCCAGTGCATCTGAGCATCTTCAGCCACCGCTTCATGAGCATCGCCGAGCAGATGGGCAGGGTCCTCCAGCGCACTTCTATTTCAACCAACATCAAGGAGCGTCTGGACTTTTCGTGTGCTCTTTTCGGGCCGGACGGTGGATTGGTGAGCAATGCTCCCCACATTCCAGTCCATCTGGGCGCCATGCAGGAGACGGTCCAATATCAGCTAAGAGTGCGCGGGGAGACCCTGAAGAACGGCGATGTCATCCTGGCCAACCATCCCTCGGCAGGAGGATCCCACCTCCCCGATTTGACGGTCATTACGCCGGTGTTTTATGAGTGAGTAATCTAGCATTTTAGTTGAAAGAGACTTAAAATTGAAAAAATAGGTGTTACCATAAGAAATTTATTTTATTTGAACGTTTGTGTTTACTTTTGCCCAGTTCAAAAACCCGACTAAATACTTGGTAAAAGCACTAACCATACAACATACAACATGTTGTATGGTTAGTGGTAATAGTATATATGAAAAAATGGTACTCATAATATTTAATAATAACTAGTACTGAATTAATCTTAAATCGAGTTTAGATTTTTTTATTATAATAATATGGAAATCTGTATCTAAATCTTCTACTCCTCCTTTTGTGAACGACATAAAAAAAACTGGCAAGCATAGAAATTGGAAAAGATTTGCTTGCCCCGAACTCATACTGGCTTACGTGCCGTATGAGTAATTTTTATGGAAACTTTGAGATTTAATTTAAAATGGCTTGCATTTTAAAATGGTAAAATTCCTTATAAAAGACCGCTTTATTGGACATACATGTAGCTGTTAAAAATTTAATCTATATCAATATTTCAAATAATTTTGGGGTGCTACAGAAATCTTTGCATGGCGGTTTGAATCAATTGTGATTGAAAGACAACTTTTGGACTACCCCCAATTAACTTAATTAAATTAATCTAAATATATTTGAGTACTGAGATATTACATTATCTTTTTGAAAATGATTCTTTGCAGTATTTTAATCTATGTTAATCTTTCCAGGAATCACCCGCGACCGGTCTTCTTTGTGGCCTCGCGAGGTCACCATGCGGACATCGGAGGCATTACTCCGGGCTCAATGCCGCCGCACTCCACCTCGTTGGCCCAGGAGGGAGCCGCCTTCAAGTCCTTCCTGATCGTGGAGAATGGCCTGTTCCAGGAGCAGCAGATAATCGAGCAGCTGACCACGCCCACGGCCGCAAAGGGGGCGGTGGGCACTCGCAACCTGAGCGACAATCTGTCGGATCTGAAGGCCCAGATCGCGGCCAACCACAAGGGAATCCAGCTGGTGGCGGAGCTGATCGACAGCTATGGCTTGGATGTGGTGCAGGCCTACATGTCGCACATCCAGAAGAACGCTGAACTGGCGGTTCGTGACATGCTGCGGCAAATTGGCCGGGACACGCTGGACCGGACGGGATCCACGGTGCTGGAGGCGAAGGAGTTCATGGACGACGGTTCGCCCATCGCCCTCAAGGTGACCATCGATGCGGAGCAGGGATCGGCTCTGTGCGACTTCACCGGATCGGGGGTGGAGGTGTGGGGCAACTGCAATGCCCCACGGGCAATCACCTTGTCGGCCCTGATCTACTGCCTGCGCTGCATGGTGGGCCACGATGTGCCCCTCAACCAGGGCTGCCTGGCGCCCATCCAGGTGATCATTCCGAAGAACTCCATACTGGACCCCTCGGAGGGAGCCGCCGTGGTTGGTGGAAATGTGCAGACCTCGCAGCGCATCGTGGACACCGTGCTGAAGGCTTTTGGAGTCTGTGCCGCCTCGCAGGGATGCATGAACAACATAACCATCGGGGACGAGACCTGGGGCTACTACGAGACGGTGGCCGGAGGAGCAGGCGCCGGACCCGGCTGGCATGGAGCCGGCGGGGTGCATACGCACATGACCAACACCCGCATCACTGATCCGGAAATCCTGGAGCTGCGCTATCCCATGATCTTGAAGCGGTTCTGTCTGCGCACCGATGGCTCCGGCGGACGAGGCCAGTTCCACGGGGGCGAGGGAGTGGAGCGGGATCTGCTTTTCCGTAAACCAGTGACTCTTTCCGTTTTAACGGAGCGACGAACCCTGCAACCCTATGGCCTTGCTGGCGGAGAACCGGGAAAAAGTGGACGTAACTTGGTGGTCAAAAGGGATGGTCGAGTGATCGCCTTGGCGGGAAAGACTTGCATCGATGTGGAGGCTGGGGTATGTTGTGATATAAGTTCAAATTACGATTTCGGGTATTAATCGATCTATTTCAGGACACCTTTGCCATGAAAACTCCCGGCGGTGGCGGATTTGGACCGATTGAAGATTTTTCTAAAACCGGAGAAGGGGTGAATCAGGAAAACAGCAAGCGATACGTGGAGCGAGGCACTGTTTTCAACTACCTCCAATCCCAGGAATCTGCTTAATATTGTCTTTTATCTATGTTTATACGTGCCATATTGAATAAAGTCTCTCAATGTTTTCTGTTAAAATCAGGTGGAATGCAAAATATAAAAATAAATTTGCATTGTTTTAATACAAATATAACTAAAACCAAAGAAGTAACTCAGCTTTTAATATATTTTAAAACGAACCCCGATTTAAAATCAAACCGATAGTAATATTTTGATTTATCGTAATCAATTTAAAAAGTGCGCCAAAGTAAAACCGATAGCCGATACTATCGATATCTACGCTCGACCATATGTTTTCAGTAACTGCAATCGCCGACAGTCTATCGATAGTTGTGCGTAAATATGTTTTGCACGTGTTGCATTTGAAAGAATAGTGTCCGTAAACAAAAGTGTTTTCTCCTCAAATTAATTTAGCTGAGCGCAAATGAAGTGAATGGTTATTGAGTGCAAACTGTGACAAAATGGCATCGTTAGCGGAAAAGACGAAAGACACCAACACATTTCGGGTGAGTGTCCACAGAAGTCTCACGTTTTTGGGTGCCCCGCCGACTCACACATTTTTCTGGTGTAGTTCAAATCTTTTGGGGATCGGGTGAATGAGATTGACCTGCGGCACTTGGCCCTCTACCACATCGGCCACCGGAACGAGGAGCTCGACGAGGAGGAGAACGCCACCTACTTCCAGCAGACGATCCAGAAATGGAACGTGCTCAATCTCACCGAGGAGTACAACCACTTTAGCAAGCGATGCCGCAAGATAGTCACCCTGCCGCAGCTGCTGCACCAGAAGGACTTTGTGGTGGACCTGCTGCTGGAGCGCCTGGCCACCGCCACCAATCTGTCTCAGCAGCCGTTGCTAGAGCTGCTCTACGTCCTGGCCAGGGATCTGCGCGAGGAGTTCTACCCCTACTTCCAGCGCGTCCTGGATCGGCTGATCTGTCTGCTCAACACCCAGGATGCGGAGCAGCTGGAATGGACCCTCATCTGCCTGGCTCACCTCTTCAAGACCCTCAAGCCATATCTAAAGCGCAACATTGGCGTGGTCTTCAACGCCATTCTGCCGCTCCTCGATGAGCAGCACTATGCCGAACATGTGACCAACTTTGCCGTGGAATGTTTCGCTTACATAGCCCGCGATGTGCGGGACTTCCCGCGCTTCCTCACCTTCGTGCTGCAGACCGTGCTGCGGGAGCAGGTGGAGAGTGTTCACGGGTGTGGTCGGCTCATCTACGAAATCCTACGCGGCGTCAACGGACAGCTGCACAACTCGGCGGCCGAGATCTTCGCCCATGTGCTGGAAGTGCTGGCCAACAAGACCTCAGCGCACACAGTGGCGCAGACCGAGCTCTTGGGCGACATTGTGGAGTATTCCTTGGGACTTTTGCTCAACTTCCTGCGCTCAGATCAAAGCAACGTGCTATGGCAGAAGCTCTGCTCGGCTGCCAGCAGTGAAGGTGCAGATGTACTGCGGCTGATCAATCTAATGCTGCCCCTGGTCACCCACAAGGACGGGCGCTATGTCGCCGAGCTTCCGCTGGTGGTCTCCACTCTGCTGAAACTGCTGGAGCGCGAAGTGGATCCCCTGCAGCCGTTGACCACCTTGGTCACCAGTCTGCTGAAGGCCCAGCACACTCAGCTCAGCCAACTGGATGCCAGTCGCCTGCTGCAAAAGCTTCTGAGCACAAGTCGCAAACATGTGTCGGTGTACGAGGACTCCATTCTGCAGCTACTGGACTATCCGCAATTTGAGATCCTGGTACTGCCCAATGCAATTGGACACTACGAAGAGCAGAGACACACCAGAGCGCTGGAGCTACTGGCTCGCATTGTCCAGCACAAGAGGCCCCTGCAAGTGGATGGCAGTTCGTTGGCCCAATGGGTGGTCTATCCCGTGCAGCTGAAGCAGAAGGAGGCCATTAAGATGGTGGAGCAAGAGCTACTCAATTTGGACCTGGACAGGGAGGATCATCTACATCTGCTCATCTTGGCGCCCCATTTGAGGGGATTTAGCAAGCAGCCTTTGGAGCAAAGATTGCAATCAGTCATCCAGAAACTGCTAAAGGATGGCGAACGGGATTTCACCCAGCTCCTTTTGCTGCTACAAACACATGCCTTGCTCAAGTTTAATCTGCCCCAGAAACTACGAGCTATCGTTAGCGGCTACTTGATCCCAGAACTGGGAAAAGACCTTCGAGCTTTGGCCTGCTTGCAGCTGGTTCTTCTGGAAACCCCCAAGAACGAACTCTCCGCCTCGGAGGAATTACTTTCGGCCATTTCGAGTCTTCTAAGCCAACCTCTGTCGCAATACAGACGCATTGCTGCCCACTGCTTAGATGTGCTGAACTCGTCGAGCAAAACCAATCCGTACTCCTACTTTTATGCCGCCACCTGCATCGAACCCACTGTCCACAACTACCGCGACTTGCTGCTCCAGTTGCAACAGCTGGAACCGGCGGCTGCTCAGTTCAAGCAGTTCTCCCAGTTGCCACACTTCAAGGAGCACGCCGTTAGCCTCCTGCTCGGCCTGCTCTACAATAATTTCAAGTTTGTGTGGGCTCCGGTCCAGCAGCTCCTGGCTGCCTACGCCAAAACGATGACAGCAGACGAGTTCTGGAATCCGTTCAGGGCCAAGTTGCTGGACACTGTCGCCTGCATAGACTACAGACGGGAGGTGACCACGTTGCAAGAGCCATTTCAAAGGAACTATCAATCGGCGGCACTGACAATGCTCCTGCCCCTGGCCGCAGAACCCCAGTTGACGCTGCAACAGGCCCTCAACTACCGCCAGCTCCTGTGGCAAAGCCTTCCCAAGTTGGGCACACTCGCCGAGGTGAAGAACGCTGATTTGGTGCGGATGTTTTTGCAGTTTTTGGAGCACGAGTATCGCGCTCAGTTGGAGAAATCGGAGCACACGTGGAACGTAAACGAGGCTACAGGTGAGCTAACCACAATTTATTGCCAACATTGAGTCTCATACCCATTTGATTCCCCTTAGCTGCTGATCTAGAGGCAGATGACGATGATGAGCATGAAACAAAGCCGGAGCAACGAGGCCGCCAGAAGAGGAGAACGCACAATGCCCACACCAAGTTCATACTGCAAACGCTGCAGCTGAAACTGGCCTGTTTCGTCTCGCAGCCCAATCCCAAGGCTCTGCATCGGCAGGCCGAGATGCACGACTTCTATCTGGAACTGCTGGCCGGCCCGAATGCCCAGTTGCAACAATTGGCACTGGACTGCCTGGCGGCCTACAAGCAGCCAGCGGCTCTGGTTCAACAAAAAGGCCAACTGTCGGGTCTGATCGATGAGGAGAAGTTCAAGACAACGCTCAGTGGCTTCGAAGTGGCCAGCATGCCGGCCCAGCAGAGGTCGGAACTGATGCCCTTCATGCTGCGTGTGCTGTATGGCAAAATGCTGACCAAGGGTGTCCAGAAACAACTGAGTGCACAGCTGCGAAAGACGCTGATCCTGCGATTCCTGGGCCAACTGGAGGAGTCGGAGATTATGGATTTTCTGAGAATGGCCTTTGGCAGGTTCACTGTCTACACTGACAAGTCAGTGGACGAGGTGGCCAAGTACGTACGCGACACGTACGATCCGTCGGCTGTGATTGCAGCCAAGCAGTTGCAGAGGATCGTCAATCTTCTAGAGCTCATTCGAAAGGAGTTCGCCGGCAAGCTGTCGTCAGATTTCCAATGCTACGTACTGAAATTGCTGCTGCTTGTGGGCAGCGTCGCCCAGGAAGTCATCAAGGGAGAGGGAAAACTAGTGGCTGCCTACAAGAATGTGAAGCACTCGGGTCTGCAGACACTAGTCAACTACTTTGGTCAACTGGTGGACATGGAGGAGCTGTGGCAGGAGCCCGAGATGAACGCCATTTGTGAGGTCTACCTCTGGCCAGGTATCGCCCGCCTCTCGCAGGACTCTATTCACACGCCCACACCGATGCTGAAGTTGCTGCTTTTGTGGGGCGCAGAACCGCGCTACCAGAAATGGTTAAACCGGAGTCCTCCTTCCGATGAACTTCCCATCATGCACCATTTGATGGCACTGCTACTGAACGAGAGAGCCAAGACCAATGTGAAGCGATCGCTTTTGCAGTTGGTGGAGCAACTCCTGGAGGCGGCGGCCACCGAGGAGTACAGCGTCGAGGCCCTCGCCATTGTGCATCCCCATATTCCGGCCATCCTGCAGCAGCTGCAGAGCAGTTGGCGCCACAAGAAGGCCGGCCGGCAGACGCTCGACAAGCGGGAACTCAACATTCTAACGCTTATAACCACGCATGTGGAGGAGCCAGCCACGTGCGAGCTGCTGCTGGAGGTGGTCCTGCCCATATTCACCAAGCAGGCGGCTTCAGCTGGCCCGGAGACAGTTGTCCAGCTGGTGACCACGTTGTCCAACCTGTTGAAACGTGTGGCCAGGCCGCAGGACTATGTCCGTCCACTGGCTCCGCTTTTCGAGCTGGTCAATGTGCTGCCTGCCAGGAAGCTACTCTGCGAACTACTGGCGGACATGGTCAAACGGTTGCACAAGGAGGCGAAACACAACTCGGCATTGGCCACCACTGCCGCTTCCCTGCGGGAGTGGGTGCGGTTTGTGCTGCTGCTGAATGCCTGGGACAAGAGGTGGCTGGAGCAGCCGGACTACGACCGACGTTTGGAGGGTCTCTCGGAGCTCAAGCAGTTGGTGGAGCGGAAGGACAGAAAGATGGACTTGCAGCTGGCTGTCCTGGTGGTCTACAACTGCTTCCATATGCTGCGCCACGACTCGGACCTGGGCATGCGAGTCAACATAGGGGAACTGCTGAAACCCCTACTCCCGTTGATCACCCTGCAACTGGAGGTGAAGGAGGATAGGCACTTCTGGCTGGAGGAGACGGTGCTGCCCCTGTTGCAGCGCTCTATGCGGGATGAGAAGCACGAGCATGCAAGGAGCGAGGCCATTGGCTTGCTGGGTGAACTGGCGCGTCAATGTCCAGCTGCACACGAGATCCTGAGGGATCTCTCGCCACTGGCGGATAAGCACGACCTGGAGGTGGATTTCTTTGAAAACATGCTTCACCTGCAGACCCAGCGACACGGTCGCGCCCTCCAGCGCCTGGTTAACATCTCCGCCGGCAGCTGGAGACAGACGCCGCCATGTGCCCGCACCCTCACCCAGTTCCTCCTGCCGCTGGCCACTCGCTATCTGATGAGCGAAAAGCACGCCGGCAAGCACACGCTGGTGGATGCCGCCATCGAGGCCGTGGGTGTGATGGCCGAACTGCTGCCCTGGTCACAGTACCAGGCCGTACTCCGCTACTACCTCCAGAAACTGCGACATACCCAGGGCCAGCAGAAGCAGTGCGTCCGACTGGTGGTTCGCATCCTGGACGCCTTTCACTTTGACCTAACCCAGGCGCAAACGGATCTCGCCACGCTGGCCAAGCTCAAGGAAAGGCTGGCCGAGGAAACGAAGGAAACCGCTGAATCGTCAAAGGAAAACAAAACGGAAGAGGATGACGATGACGATGTCGATGGCGATGGCGAAGAGAAACCCTTGAAAAAGGAGGAGGAGGATCAGTCGGAGTTTATTGATTTCGAGGAAGAGGAGGCTAGTGAACCGGTGGTGGAGCAACAGCGCACTCAACTGCTAGCTCCCAATGCGGCCAAGAAGGTGATGGCCACCATTACGACGGTGTTGCTGCCAACTCTGAACCGCTCCATCACCGAAAAGACCAACTACGACACCAAGCACAAGGTGAACCGTCGACGACTGAGCTACGAGCGCGAAGAGGAGGAAATCCAGCGGGTGCCCATTGCCCTGGCCATGGTGAAGCTGCTGCAGAAGCTTCCTCTAGAGCTACTGGAGAACAGTCTACCTGGTATGTAAACTATCCTGAACTATAACGAATAGATTAACTTATATCGAATGTATTATCTGTAGGAATCTTCATGAAGGTCTGCACTTTCTTGCGATCTCCTTTGAAATCCGTTCGAATGCTGACCCGTGACATTCTCAAGAAGATCATGATCACGTTGGGTGGCAACTACTTGGGCATGCTGCTGGAGCAGCTGCAATCCCTGCTCACGAGGGGATTTCAGGTGCACGTGCTCTCTGTGACCCTACATGGCGTCTTGGATGCCCTGAGGGGCAGCCTCCAACCGGAGCACATTGAGAAGTGCATGCAGAACCTGCTGGAAGTGGCCCTCAACGACATATTCGGCGATGTGAGCGCCGAGAAGGAGGTGGACAAAATCGTGGCCCACACGCCAGAGGCCAAGCCAAGTGCGAAGAGTTACCTCACCCTTCAGATAGCCGCTCGTCACATTCGGGACAATTGCCTGCTGGATCTGCTGCTGCCCTTCAAGGAGCATTTGGCTCGATCGCACTCACGCAAGGTGACTCAAAAGATTCAGGAGTGCTTTGCCAAAATCGTGGGTGGCCTGGTGGAGAACACACACATCGCCAGGGAGAGTCTCCTGATCTTCATCTACGGCACAATGTCGGAGAGCATCAGTGACCTGTTGCCAGGCACTCAGAAGCGCCAGCTCACCGATAAGGAGCAGGCACTGATGAAGAGAACGCGTCCCGACTGCCTGATCCTTCAACCGGCGCCGGGCAGACGCAGTGTGGCCACCGGCAACAAGCAGGTGAAGTCGAATGCCCAGGCCAATGCCCACATACTGGTTGAATTCGGGCTGGAGCTCCTCCATTTCGTTCTGAAGCGCAAGAAGCTAACGGATCTGGACTATCAGCCCTTCCTGCAGCCCCTGCTGCCACTCCTGAAGGACTCGTTGAGCAGCAATCACGCCAGGACGACCACCTATGCCCTTAAGTGCTACACGGCCATCTGGTTGGGAGAGTACGAGCTCTCCGAACTGAACACCGAGGCCCTGCAGCCGGTGGTTAGACGCATGTTCGAGATCCTCAAGAACTTCTCCACTTTCGGAGCCACGCGGCAGGAGGAGAACGCCCAGCTGGTCAGGGCGAGCTTCAAGGCGGTGGTGGCCCTGCTGCGCAAGTGCCAGGATTACCAGCTGAGCAACGAGCAGATCGAACAGCTGCTGCTGCACATCGAGCAGGAGCTGCAGGAGGGCGAGTGCAGCAGCCAAACCATGGTGTTCACGCTGCTCAAGGCGCTGGTGGGTCGCCAGGTGGACAGCCGTTCCCTACACGATCTGATGAAGCGTCTGGGTGACCTCGCCATCGTCTCACCCTCGGACTATGTGCGTGACGAGTGCCGCGGCATCCTGCTCACCTACATGATGGAGTACACGCTGCGCCAGAAGGTGGACCAATTGGTCAAGTTCATGTCGGTGCAGTTGTGCTACAGCCAGACCGCTGGTCGCCAGTCGGCCATCCAGTTCATGCACTCCGTCATCAACAAGTTCCCCCAGCTGATGCTGGCCAAACAATCCGAGTTCCTGTACCTTTCCCTCGGCACTCGACTGGTCAACGATGAGGATCCCGCCTGTCGGCGCAGTGTGGCCGCCGCCCTGGAAGCGCTGATCGGACGGCTGACCAAACTGGAGCGGAAGCCACTGCTGGATCTCACGCTGCTGTTCTTCACCTCGCCACAGGCCAGCCAGAAGCCAGGAGTCCGCGAAATGGCCGCTGCTCTGCTCTCCAGATTTGTCCAGGCGGAGAAGGCTGGCTTTGCGGAGCGATTGCCACTGGTGCTGCCCACGCTGGTGAATGTCCTCACATTGGGTGACGCGGAGGCGGGCGGCAGATTTGTGCGGGCTCCGGGAAAACTGTCTTCGGCGGTGGATGAAACCGATGTGCATAAAAGGAAAAAGCGAAAGGTGAGCGACAATGTTTATGTGCAAGTAAATTCAATATTTTAACACGTTTTATTATTTATTTTTTTGTAGAAATTCGAAACCACGCTCGATGAAGAACTCCTGCTCGGTGGCCTCGACAACGAATCGCGTTTGGAGCAGCAGCAGCGCAAAGTTGACCATCAGGTCATCCAACTGCAGTACTGTCTGCTCAAGATCTTCGAGCATTGCGGTGAGTCCATACTCAGCAATCCGGAACTATGCGACACCATTGATGAACTGGCCTACGGCTGTCAGCGTCTGCTGGGACACGAGCACAACTGGGTTCGCTGCAATGCAGCCAAACTACTGACCCACATCCTGGCCCACTACGATTACACCTATGTGGGCCAACAGCTGTCCGGAATCAAGAGGGAAGAAGGCGCTGAGCAGAGCCTGTACTTCATTTATGCCCAGCCTGCCGAGGATATAAAATCTCTGGTGCTAGATCTGTGTGCCCAGGTCACGCCGGGTGAAACTGCCCAGGAAATGGTGGACGAACTGTCGAAGATTCTGTTGTACATTGGACACATGCTGCGGGATGTTCCGTTTAGCCTGAAGCAGGAGAAGGATGCTGATGTAGGTGAGGGTGAGGAGCAAGAGCCGGTCAACAAAATAAATCTTAACTGGCTGCTGCGGAACATACGTTTCCTGATCAACAAAGAAGTGGCCAAGGCGCCCCACGACACCAGCATAGTACGTTTGACCCTTTAAAAAATCGAAGAGTAGTAACTAATATAAACATTTTTTGTTTTACCATAGCGAACGGCCATGTTCACACTAATCGAGGCTCTGTCCACGCTGCTCAGCGTGGAGTCCGTGACCCGATTGGCGCCTTCGCTTCTCCAGGCCTTGGTTCGCGAAATGTCCGAGGAGGATCAGAATGTGGATGCGGATTTGCGCCAGCAAGCTCTCCGTGTGGGCAGTCGCCTGAGGAAGCGCATCGGAGCCGATATCTACGACAAACTAAGGAATTCGGTGCAGACCAAGCTGATGGTCCGCCGTGCCGAGCGTCGCAAGGTTGTGGCCCAGGAGAAGATCCATGATCCGGAGCGGGCGGCCAAGCGAAAGGCTGGCGTCCAGGAGCGCAAGAAGGCAGCGAAGCGTCTGAAGGCAGCCGTCGTCCGTGGCAAAGCGCCGGACACTAAGCAGAAGCTTAAGAAACGGAAACGAAAAGCAGAAATGGATGGATTCTAATTAGTTAGTCGGTTGTTTATTGAACTAAGTTGTTTTCTAAGTAAAAACGGATATATACCGGAAATTGTAGTCAGCCTAAGCAAATTGTGGAAAATATACATGCCGTTAATGCAATAATTCTTTAAATTCAGTGACAATTTATTAAGATTTTAAACTTGGAAGAATGTTGCCCTTAAAGAAGAAGTGTGTCCTTAACAATCATTTTTAACGTTATAAAGAGCCTAAAGTTGTTAGCACAAGAGAAACATGTCAAGCATTGGGAAAACACAAATTTATTAAATTTAAGGGGGCAGATGGAGTTAGACATATTTAAAATATCTCAACAACGTTGTTTTCTAATCGGAGCAAGTACTTTCAAAGTAGGTCCCTCATAATTTCAAAACTACTGCACATATTTAGTAAACAACGGGGGAGCGTTTGTTACATTTTAAAAATACATTTACATTTTCATTTTACTAAATCAAAGTATTTTGTTTTTTCGCCAAAACGCAGTGTTCCCTAAAAGTGTAAAAAAAAATTGAACACAATTATGCCTTTTTATTTTGGATGATCTAGCTCAGATTTATGAAAAGCTATTTTTGTTGCGCTATTTCTAAATATTTCCTTATATAAATAAAACAGAAAGATATCTAATTGTTTCATCAAAAAAATTTTCATGTGTTTTCCACGACTTTAAACTCAATAATATAACTATTGCATTAATGACGGTTAATAGTTTAATTTAAATTTGGCGCTCACCGATAAATGCCTTTTGGATCCCTTCTATCGATACAAAAATGGAAAATATCGATAACATAGCTCGCATGTGTTGTGCAATTCCAGTTGTTGTTATTGTTTATCATTTCGAAAATGCAGCAGCTGCGAACCGCCGTGATCCACGGCCTGGCCAGAAGGATCCATCTTCCAACGCGGACTAATCACAGTACCAGTGCCGAGATCTACGACGTAGTGGTCATCGGAGGCGGACATGCCGGCACAGAGGCCTCGGCGGCAGCCGCCCGCTTGGGATCCCGCACCCTGCTGCTCACCCACAAACTGGAGACCATCGGCGAGATGTCCTGCAATCCCTCGTTCGGCGGCATTGGCAAGGGCCACCTGATGCGCGAAGTGGACGCCTTGGACGGGGTGTGCGCCCGCTGCTGCGATGTATCCGGCGTCCACTACAAGGTGCTCAACAGGCGACGCGGACCGGCGGTTTGGGGACCCAGGGCGCAGATCGATCGCCAGCTGTACAAGAAGGCCGTGCAGCGGGAACTGCACAGCACTCGCAATCTGGAGATCCGAGCGGCTGCCGTGGACAACCTCCTGATCGAGGATGAGCAGGATTCCCAGGCGCGGCGTTGTGCCGGAGTCCTGCTGGCCAACGGCGAAGTGGTGCGCAGTCGATCCGTGGTGCTCACAACGGGCACTTTCCTGCGGGCACACATAAACATCGGACTGGAGGTCCGTCCAGCCGGACGGATCGGAGATGCCCCAGCCAAAGCACTGGGTGAAGCCATCGATAGGTTAGGTTTCCGCATGGGCCGACTGAAGACAGGAACTCCGCCGAGGATAGCAAAGAGCAGTGTGGATTTTACACAGCTTCAAAGGCACGACGGCGATGATCCTCCCATGCCGTTCTCCTTCCTCAACCGAGAAGTGTGGATACCGGCCAAGGAGCAGCTGCCCTGCCATCTTACCTACACCACACCAAAGGTCAGCGACATTGTGCGCAATAATCTCCACGTGAATCGCCATGTCACCGAGGAGATAACCGGCCCACGCTACTGTCCTTCGATTGAGTCGAAAATCCTGCGGTTCGGCGACAAGGTACATCAGGTCTGGCTGGAGCCGGAGGGTCTGGACAGTCCGCTGGTGTATCCTCAGGGAATCTCGTGCACGCTGCCCCACGAACAGCAGGTGGAGCTGGTCCATGCCATTCAGGGTCTGGAGAAGGCGGAGGTGGTTCAGCCCGGCTACGGGGTGGAGTACGATTTCATAGATCCCCGCGAGCTGTATCCCACGCTGGAAACGAAACGAGTGCCCGGACTCTTCTTTGCTGGCCAGATAAATGGAACCACGGGCTACGAGGAGGCGGCCGCCCAGGGAATCATAGCTGGTGCGAATGCGGCCGGAAAAACTCGCCATGGCGACGGAAGGCAACTAACCATTAGCCGAACAGAGGGCTACATAGGCGTGCTGATCGATGACCTCACATCTCTGGGCACCAACGAACCCTACCGTATGTTCACCAGCCGAGCAGAGTTCCGCCTTTCACTTCGTCCGGACAATGCGGACATGAGGCTCACCCAAAAGGGCTATGACTTTGGTCTGGTGTCGCCACATCGGTATCAACATTTTCAGCAAACCGAAGAGCGGTTACAATCGGCCATTGAATCCTTGAGAGGATTGCGCAAGCACACCCACTATTGGCGCCAGGCGCTCGATCTGCCCAAGGCCAAAGCCTCGGTGGAGAAAACTGCCTTCGATATGCTGGGCATACCGGCGGACAACATCACTGTGGATCAGCTAATCCAACTCCATGCCAGCGAACTGAGCTGGCTAAGCGGTGAGCGGAACTTGGCTGAAAGGCTAAAAATCGAGGCTCTGTACTCGTTCTTTGTGGACGAACAGCAGCGGGATGTGGAGGATGTGCGGCGGGAGGAGCGCCTCTCGATCCCCGCCGACATTGACTACTTCTCCAAGTCCCTGAGTTTGTCCAACGAGGAGCGACAGAAGCTGACGCTCATCCAGCCGCAGACGATTGCAGCGGCCAGTAGAATTCAAGGAGTAACTCCTTCCACAATTGTGCGGATAATGAAGTATGTCAAAAAGGCGGAGGTAGCGAAAACGTAGTTAGGAAATATATATCTTGTATATATAGAATTTAATTAAACAATATATGAAGGTGCGACTTTTATAAATTGAATAATTGATAATCTACATTTATAAAATATGAACTACTTTTTTCCCTATGTACCTATGTACGTACCGAGGTACCATTTTTCGATACCTTATGCATTACCTAGGTACAGATTTGTATTGATCGTTAAAATCTGATAAGTAAGATAATTTACTGAAATATTTGTACTTATTTTGTTTAAAAACTAGCTTGATACCACTAAATCAAATTGTGTATAATTTTCGCCAATATGCTGATAAAAATAGAAAATTTAAATGTAACTTAAGGAAGATAAGATGTTTCTTTTTACATGTTTATACAACCAGCCTTTATTGCCAGAGCGTATACACAATATCACAATCCATTTGCAACTTCGCAAAATGATTAAATTTTAAATAATTTGTTTTTTAACCTTTTTTGTACCTTTTAATTCACCTAGATACTTGACAAATTGTATACCTTTTACCTTTCTAGGTACTTATTTTCTCAAATACCTTGTATCTTACCTAGATCCAAAAAACTAGTACCGTTCCCAACACTGTGTTGTATATATACAATCTGATTAAATAATATTTGGAAATACGATTTTTATACATCACCGCCGTTCCCAGAACATGAACTTTCTTTTCCAATACATCCATCCAAAAAAAGAGGTTTATAGCTTATCCTTAAGTAGAGTTTATTTCATAAAATCATAAATGCCTTATGTAAAGTTGCACAATATTGTTTAAATGTTTGTTTCGCATATCGTTTGCCACATGGTTGAACATTCGTACATATTTGTTTTTCTGCGAGATTGTGTTGGCTCAAGTGAGTTGATATATACCCAACTATTTGCTGTGGTCGTGTGAAGATCTGTGAGAGAAGCGCCCGTCTGTCCGTCTGAATTTCCCATCTAATGCACCCGATCAGAACTTTAGATCCTTTTCCGGACAGACTTGAGCGCTCCATCTTATGGCTATTGCTAGTGTTGCGGTAGCTTTTGTATTTGGGTACTTTTGTATTTGGTTTTCGGATTCGATTGCGTTTCGGTTAGCTTACAGTTTAATGTTTTACACTTTGTATTCTGTTTACACACACAACGAAGATTGAGGGGGAGTTACAGTACATTTAATTTACGATCGATTTCATTTGTTAAGGTTGTATTTGAAACTATTTTGCAGTAGTTGATTAGCTATCGCATGGCATTTGTGGTTACGTAACTAGATGCGCGCCAATCGATGTCAGTTATCTGTGTGTCATTCAAGAATCTATTACGATTAGTTATTAAAATATATTCATTTTCAGTTTTACTGGTACATACACATAGTTTTTGTCAAAAGGAAAAGTCGACTTGCATATGGCGGAATTTTCACGGAATTATCGAAGCGTCTTGGTGTTCTTCATATTTACCTATTCAACAGGGACACCTGAACTTTGTGGGATATATGTACATATCCTGCTTCGAAAACGAGTTGCATTTTTGTAGTATAGGGTCTCAAATGGCCATAGCTTGAGGCTTTTTACGCAATGATTTTTTGAGTTTTGGTTTGGTTTTTAATTTTTCTTTATAATATCACAGATTGCTCGAGATTTATGCATTAAAATATATATAAACCGTTACTTCACGTATCATCAAAAGTTAGGCAATCTCAAACACAAAAAAAAAAAAGTCTGGGAGGCAAGATATAGGGGCAAAGACTGGAAACGGGAGTGAGAACTAGATCTATATCTTTGAGAGTTTGCTTGGTTTTTGGGGTATTGACTACTTACTATAAACATCAATTATAGTGTGAATACAGAGTACTTTCTCCATTTGCTAGCTTGTGTTTGGTTGGTTGGGTTTGTCTTAAGATTCTGGCGAATGCGTTTCCCGATTTCTGCACTCTAAGTTTGCGTCTAATCATATTTTAAATCACAAGAAAAAAAAAGAGATATTGTTAAGGGCCAAAGGGTGGCTTAAAGAAGTTGATCAATTTCGAAAAATAATTTCGGCCTTTCGCTCTTCACTACTTATCCATTCCAGAATATCTCTCTAGGTTTTTGATTTGATTTGTTATCTAAATTTCAGTTCCGTTTTCCCCACTTTGTATTCGAGTTACATTTTCATACGTTCTCCGTTTTTATTCGTACTCTCCAAATCACAATTATTAGCAATTAGCAATTTAAGAATAAAATATAGCTACCCAGTATGTTTTGTATAATTTCTGTTTCTGTTGTGTATATATAAATTTCTTATCAGAATTTTAGTCTAACTTTACAACTAGAAATATTTTTTGCTCGGACCATGAAACGTTTTCCACACGAAAACCACATTCAGAGTTCTATGCAAGTATATACCTAAAATTCTTACGAATAACGCTTCTTTCGAGAGTAATTATTTTTACTTGGAATATTTCACAATATTTTACATTTTATGCATATACGATTTTTACACCAATTCAAAATGTCTAATTGTGTTAGGTAGAATTGTATTCAACTGGTTTGGGTAAACGTTAGATTGTAACACCGAGAACAAACAAATATCTGATATCTGTTATAAAATGTACATTGTATTGTGGTTTTGGTTTATTGCGGCTCTAAATGGTGATTTCTTGGCCAGCTTTTTTTCTTAATTTCCGGACAACAAGGGATTCCTTCCACCTAGAGTTTTAGGAACTCGTCGAGCATCCGCTTGCGCTGCTGGTGAAGAGCCCGCTCCGACAGCAAGTACATCCCAATGTCACTGTAGTTTTTCATTAGTTAGTTATTGGAATTACTGAAGAGTTGGTGTCATAAGGCTGTGGCCTCCTCCGCACTGTTGCTGCGCCCCAATCCACCCAACTGCGGTTTACTGTCATCTGAAACGAGCACCGAGGTTAACTGCTTTAGTGGGGAAGTTTCAATGGCAAAGGCGCCCCATTTTTTTGGGGGATGACAAAACCAAAGCGAAATAATAAGTGTAAAAGACAAATAATTGTAAACAAATAAATCATTTATTCAGGCCATTTCTAAAAGTAAACGCTTCACAATTTTAAATACGGAAATAATAATAGTAACTAAGGATTAAAACATTAAGAATTGGATCTAAAGCGGCGCTGGCAATACATTACATTACAAGTTCTTGTATAAATAAAGATGCTTGACTAACAACTAAATTATCGCCTAGTTAAATGTTACTGAAGGTAGATGTTAACTAGTTCCGATCCGAGGCGACTTTGCAGAACTTAAGCCTAAGCGACCGACCGACCGACCGACCGACCGACCGACCGAACACCCACTCCCGCCAGGGGATCATCATCATCATTATCATTATCATTGTTATCGTTATCATCTATCATCTGGTGGGCTCGGCAGTGGGCGTGGCGGCACTGGTGGACACCTCGTCGCTGGTCAGCGCCGTGCTGGCACTGCTGGTGCTGCTGCTGACCACCGGCGGCGGGGTGGTGCCACTGGTCGTGGAGGTCACCCCGCCGGAGGTGGACACAGTGTCTGGGGAGGCGGCGGCGGCGACGGCCATGCTCTTGGGAGCAACTGGTGCAGGTGCCGGCGCCGGCGACACCGACAAGCGTTGCTTCTCCTCCTCAATGTCTGTCTTGGTTGCTGCCGTGGCAGTCGTGTCCGTGTCTAGAATCTTTGGGGGCTCCTCTTTGCATTTACCTGATGCTGCTGCTGCTGCAGCTGCTGCTGCTGCGGCACCGAGCGCCGGCAGCGAGTTGTTGGTCTCCGACTGCGGACTGGCACTGCGCCGCGATGAGTTCTCCGGCGAGCTGTCCGGATGGATTTGCTTCTCTGCAGCGGCATTCGGCGTGGCTGGCTTCTTGTCCAGCGCCACTGGCGGCGGCGGCGAACTCTTCAGAGAATCCTCCTTGAGGGCAGCCACCTGCTCCTTGATCTCGCCCTGCGAGGCTCCATTGGATTCGCCCCCGTTCACTTCGTGACTGGTCGGCTGGCCACTGCTGGCGTTCGATGGAGCCTGGTTGCTGGAGTTCGAATTCGATCCGGTCAGATCCAAGGTGGCCGGTTCATGCGTCACCGGGGTAACGGCCTTATCGATCAGCGCCGATTGCTGGGCAGCAGCCGCCACGGCCGCAGCAATGTGGTGCCTCATGGCATGGGGGCTACCGCCTGCTCGGCCGCCGTTCGCCGACGCAGAGGGAGTGATGGGGGGCGTGATCTTGGGCGAGCTGGGCAGCGAAAGGGGCTGCTGTTGGTGGGCAGCCGTCGGAGTCATTCCGCTGGCCGCCGCCGCAGCTGCATGCATGGCCGCCAGATGGCCGTGATGATAGTAGTGGCCCATGTTGGGAATGTGCGAGCTGGAGGTGGTGGGCGGCATACCGCTGCCGCTGACACCGCCGCTGGGCGTCGAGGTGGGCACCTGGTCGGCGCTCAGCTTCACGGCGGCCGTCAGGTTCAAGCTGGTGTGCGCTGAAGATGCAGATAGACTGGAACTGGCCGTCACTGGAATGGAGTTGCTCATCGCTCCGCCGCCGCCGGCCGTGGAGGTATGCGGCGGCAACTGGTGGGCCAGCGAGGCGGGATGGTGCGGCGACATGTGCGGGTGACTGAGGTTCAGGCTGTGCGGATGGGCACTGAGGCCGAGGGCAGCGGCCGAGAAGCCGGGATGCGTGAGGCCAGCGGCACCCGGATGGGCCAACCCCATGGCCGCCTGCTGCAGGTGGTGCTGCAGATTGGGCCCGTGGCCGCCCAGTGGAGGAACGCCGACGCCTGGCAGCCCGGCCATGCCCAGATTGAGGCCCATGGCCCCGTGGGGACTCTGCCGCTGGGCATTGGCCGCCGCTGCATGGTAGTGCGACATGCCGGGCAGCCCGTGAAGTGCTCCTGGTGGTCCGCGCAAGCTCATGTTGAGATGTGGGATCATGGAGCCCAGCAGGTTTCGGTTCAGCGGGGAGTACAACTGATTGGAGTAGTGATGCGAGGCATTCAGCAGCTGTTGGCGTTCCCGCTCCCGCTCGCGCTCCTCGTCCCGCAGTTTGCGTTCCCGGGCCTCCCGTTCGCGCTGCTCCTTCTCGCGCTCGCGCTGCTCCTTCTCCCGTTGCTCCTTCTCGCGCTGCTCCTTCTCACGCTGCTCCTTTTCGCGCTGCTCGCGCAGCTCACGCTCCTTCTCGCGCTGCATCTCCCGCTCACGTTCCTCCTCCCGCGCCAGCCGCGCCCTGTGCTCCTCCTCCAGCTTCATCCGGTCGTGCATCGCCGGCGAGATGCCCAGCGCTGCGCCGGGCATCATCGAGTAGAGGTGCGAGTAGGGCGAGGCCATTTGGGGGTACAGTGCGGCCGCATGCGGATGCGAGGGATGGGCGCCGGCGGCGCGGAACAGTTGGTAGCGGTGCTCCAGGTACAGCTGCTCCGTGTACGGCAGTCCAGCGGGATTCAGAAAAGCTGGAATCAATTAGGTGATTAGCACTTACTCTGAATTTATAGGTAGAGTTAGAATAATAGCAATGTATTTAGAATGTATCTATCTTTGATAGAGTCATCTTTTAAAATTGTATCAAAATATTTTATGGGAACTTTAATTTTTGTTAAAACTTTCCATGGAAAGAAAAGGTAAATCATTTAGCTCTTCAAATCTACTTTTGATTTTTAATTATGTATATTATTTAATATAAGTAAAATTTTGTTTTTCTGTAATTCTCTTTAGTGGATAAAAAGTTTTTATCATTTTATGGAAAAATAGATTTTGTTATTTTTATATAGGATTCAAAAAATTAGGTAAATTAAACTCATAATTAAATATTGATTTTAAAAGCCAAAAGATGCACAAAACTGAATTTAATTTAATTTTAAAGAGTGATAAAAGTAAAAGTTTCTAAATATTAGATGGGTAAATAAGTAATATTAAGGTTTCATGAGAAATAAAACATTGATTACTGGTTTATTACTCAATTTACCTTATTCATATTATATATACAAATAAAATAAAGCCATAGTGATGTTTTAGTCAATTAAAGCTTAAATTTAAAGACCCAGCTTACCTCCTGGTGGAATCCCAGGCAGACCCGCAAAGTGGGAGTAGGCCTCCAGGGGAAAGGCGCCCGCCGGATGCATCAGCCGCTCGTCCGATCTGTACGGCTGGAATCCGCTCCTGGCCAAGAGTTCCGGCTGCAGCGAGGCTGTTTGCGGTGTGTGACTCAGTCGGGCGATCTTCTCCGGCGGCTGTGGCGAGGGCGGTGAGCGCTTCTTGTTGCTCGCCACTCGATCCTCACCGGAGCGCTCGGATCCCACACGTCCGGCGCCCGAGTTCAGCGGTCCGGACGCCGACGTTGGCGGCCCGCCGGCTCCCGACGTGGGCACATTCCTGTCCCCGCCCACATCTTCCTCCTTGATGTCGGCCTGCTTGGCCAGCGTTCGCAGGGCGGCGGCAAAGGAGCCTCGACTACTGGCCGATGCGGCACCAATGGCTCCTGGTGGCAAACCCACTCCTGCGGCCAGTTGTTGCTGCACTGCAGCCGCCACCGCCTGCTGTTGGGCCTGATGTTGCTGCTGTTGCTGCTGTTGCTGCTGCTGTTGCTGCTGTTGGTGTTGCTGTTGGTGTTGCTGTTGGTGCTGCTGATGTTGCTGCGGCGACGGAGTGCCGATGTGGTTGCTGGGCAGGGCGTGGTTCAGCAGGGCGTTGCCACCGGCGGACGATGGCACCGGGCTGTTGGCCACCGAAGATCCCGGCAAGCCGCCACCGCCGCCGCCAGGTGGTGTCTGCAGGTGGTGCGGCACGGGAATGTGCGGTGCGGGGCTGGTGGCCGGCCGCTTTTGTCCAGCCTTCGGCGGCACTGCAATGGAGCAAAAACAAATTGGGTAAGTCAGAGATGGTTGGAAATTAATATATTTTTAAGCAAGTTCTTCTTTAGACAATTCAAGCATTGATTAAATTTAAAATCATATTCATACTTTATATTCGTATTTTGGGATTATTTTAATCAACGCTAACGACAATATGGGTCAATGTATCCATAAATTTATATTATTCAAACAAATTTTTCAATTTAAACGATTTGCCTAAAAAGGTTTTTTTAGCAAGTAAGTTTAACTTCATTTCTTTACGAAGTCTAGTTAATCAGTAAGCGTTTTTGTAAATAATAAATTGAAGAGTTCCAAAGTATTGATAATTTTTGTTTTAAAGACTTTTGCATTAAAAGAGCTCATGCAACACATCTCTTTTTTTTCAAGACTTTATGAAAAATTCTCTTTGCCAAATAGACTTTGCATGAACTCAGTGAGGGAGTTCAGATTATTCGGAACTGTGTCCCTGTAATTCGACACAACACCAGACTCGCTGGGGATGAGGGCAGATGGTTGTTGGACTCGTCCGCTCGTTCGTATTTCCTCTGCTAATATCTGATTGATGTCCGCGAGTTGTGTGACGGGCAAAAATTGCGCATACGCCTCGTTGCATTTGCGGCAATTTGCATAGGCAGGCGACAAGGTGGATCCCCCAGGTGTATAGTGTATGAGTATGAGTGCCCACCATGGCCATCGCCATCAGGAGGAGCAGAAGCCAGAACAAGAGGAGTCACTCGATGGCCAACAGCAGGTTGACGCTGGTTGAATGCAAATGGCGAAGGCCTGAAACTTGAATTTCGGACATGGTCCACTCAGGCATGCGAGTCGAATGGGATGAGGGATGAGGGCTGAGGGTGGCAGAGCTGTTCCAGCTTCAGCTTCAGCACTGTATATGTCCTCCACCTACGGTGCCCACTTTTCCTTTGAGGCTCCGGCTCCTCGGCGCACGGCGCAAATTGCACGCCCAACGAATTTATCGATTCTTGTTACTCGTTTTCGGGTTGCCCGCTTCGAAATTGCTTTCAGATATGACAGCCACACCCCCGAGTCCGCCCCTTTCAGGTCGCCGAGCCAGTAGAGAACTGCTGGCTAGTCCGGCTGCTGCTCCTCCTGCAGCACCATCTCCGCATCCCCGCATCTCTGCATCTCCGCTCGCATTCAATGCCGAATGGAATTTGCAACGACATCGAGGAGAACGATGTTATGAGGCCGGCATGGCATGTATTTTGAAAACCATTTCGCTGGCTGGCTGGCTGGCTGGTCCTTTGTGAACCTTAAAGCTGCTCGGTCTCAAATGGAAACACATCGCATTGCAAGTGGTTTTTCCGAGGGGAATTGGTTGGTGGGGGATAACTACTACTACTACTTCTACTACTCGAAACTGTTTCGCTTCGAAAGAGAGCTGCACATATTTTGGATTTTTGTGAAAATCAACAATTCAACAAAAATACTTCTGTGGTTGGGTAAATATTATCACCTCTCGGTAGGTAGCCTTAGTTTTGCCTTCGACTTTATTTATTTACTTGGAATGGCTTTGCATCCAAGTGGAATCTGGCAGGCAGGCAGTGCTTCGAGAGCTTTCATTAAATGAAGGAAAAATGCAACGAAGAATGCAGCTGCATCACTGGCTTCATCATCATCTTCATCATTATCATTGTAGACGTCATCATCAACAGTTTCCCCTCAGTAGAACGTCATGATAACGTCTGCTGCATAAGCTCATGGTTTAGAGCGTTTTGTGTCGTTTATGAAAACGGGGTGCTGTGGAGGTTGGGCTATGCGATCTGGGATCTGGGCTATGTATGTATGTAGATGGCCTGGACATGGAAATGGGAATGGAAATGGGAGTGGAAATGTGTACATGTGCATGTGCATGTGCTGGCAGCCTGCTGCTGCTGCTACTGCTGCTGCATGTGTATTTACCAAACTAAACCGAAATAATGCCCGAAACTGCAGTACCAACATCGATGTCGACGAGTAGAACAATAAAATGCCGACGACTGCGAATGCGAATGAGTTTAGAGCGGGGTTGGCTTGGGAAAAACCCCACAACTACACACTACACACTGCACACTACACACTGCACCTAAAACCCGGAACCCAGCCCTCTGGACAAACCAAACAAAGCTCCTCGATGCCGATGCCGATGTCGATGCCAATGCCGATGACGATGATGCCAACGTTGACGTGGCTGGCCGTATTTGCCAGTTTGCCCAACTCAGCCTGTGGGCTCATGCCAAACGGAGGGCAGATGTGAGGTATGGAAATGTAGTGCCGGGGAAAACTAGAGTCGAGTCCCTCGGCCTCTACCCTTTCCGCAGTCAAAAATCCCCTCCATCCCTGCTTTTGTTTGCCATGAAATGCCTGTTTGTTTGCCTGGGTTTTGTGTACTTCAACATGGTCCCATACCCCAGGCCCCCGGAACCCCAGAACCCCAGATCCCAGACCCCGGAACCCAGATCCCAACCCCAAAACCCAGAACCCAGATCCTAACCTGACTCAGATGCCACACCCTGCAGCCAGCACCCGCACACACACTCGCATGCGGAGTGATATAGAGAGACTGCTTTCGCATTGAGCGGCGATTTGCAGGCATCAGCGATATTTGCCGAATTTAATCAGCGCACTGACACGAGAGCACCGCAAGTCTCGACTCCCGTTTCCATCTAAAGTGTTCATATATGGCATGGCAAAGCTATGTTTTTTTTGTTTTTGCCATGATAGTGCTCCTTAAAGCGCCTGGAATTTGCAATAGTCTGCCAGACGGAATTTGAACTCTAAGCTGGAACTGAAAGTGTAACTTTACCAGCAGAGAAAAAAGGGAGAACCGTTTCGGGGTTTTAGTCATTTGAGCAATTGGAAAACCTGAAAGATCTTTTGAAAAATTTAAAATTTGCTACACCCAAATTACAAAGTTAGTAACAGAGTTGTCAATATGTACTGGCATTTAGAGACAAAGACCTAAAAAATGAGCGTAGACCATATACTTTTGTAAAAATTACATAACAAATGAACGTAGTTTGATTTAGGTTATATTTCCCAAATTAAGAGAATTTTGAAAATTTTCTAGAATAATATTTAATTTAGATGTTAGAAATAATGTTTCCATTTCACCATTGAAAATAAAAAACAACCAACAAATCCTATAATAAAAACAAAATATAAATTTCAAAGATAAAGAATAAAAATATATAGAGAATAAAACTTTGACCAACCATAAATAACACTCAAAATTAAAATAAATTGGTAATTTTGGTTAAAATGAAGTCAAGGATAAAGGCACAAACATTAAGACTCCGCTGCTATTTAAATTTCTACTTCTGTATTACTCATAAACTGCATATTTCCTATGCCGAAACAAACTATTTTCCAAAACATAACCCGAAAGCTCATATCTAATCGTTATATTAATAAGCCCTTCAGTATATAATCCCCTGCATCGAGAATCCATGCACAGAATAGAGTTCAAACCTCTTTCACAAGGGATACAAGCAATGCATTGATTTATAACTCATTTATTAGCTACAATCAGAGGGCGGGGATGGAAATGTGAGAGGGGTGCTTATTCATTTCAGTTAATTTGGTCAAATGCAAATGCAATTTTGTAAAGTCAATTAAGTGAACCTCAGACTGCCGTCCGGCCCTTTGGATGCCGTCCAGCCCGAAAAGCTCTTGACAGCCACATAATGCAACTCATAACTGCCAATAAATAAATGTTGAATAAATTATGCACAGAAACAATGCTGCTTGCTCGCCACTGCTGTTGCTGTTGCTGCTGCTGCTGCTGCTGCTGTGGCATTTGTCACATTTTGCATTTTGGTTCATTGCAACAAAATTGGTTTTCTCGCTTGGGTAAATTAAAATGTCACCGATTCCGAGAAAGGCCAAAATGCAAGCACCACCAACTGTCCACCAACCAGGCCGACCACAAGTGGTGCCCCGCCCACTTTGTCCGCAGCCCCATTATTGTACACATAAACACATGTTTCCAGCCATTTCCATCCCCGCCCGCACTACCGTATTATTATGGTAAATTCGTAGGGACTCAGACTCATTCCGAATTTATGCCATTGCCACCGCCCACAGATCGCAGTCCTTTGACCCCCACTTCCTCATTCCGGACACACCATACCGAATCACACACTCACAAACATACACAAACACACGGAAAGTGGAGTGGACTACCGAAACCACCGAACATTCCTTGCCACAGAGAAATGTCGCCGGTCGCATGCGATTATTCCACCACAACTAATTACAGTGGCAAACGGAACACAGGACCTTCCTTTCGACCACTCCCTCATCCTCCATTCACCATTCTCCATCGTCCACTTTCCGCCTCCACATCCTGCTGTGCACCGGTGACGGCGCTCCTGCGGCCGGGACATGTTTAGGTCAGCCACAGCACATTCACATGGCGAAGTGCACTCACCCTGGCCATGAATAATTTATTTAATAAATACATTCACAATTAAATCAAATGCGAAAATTGCGGCTTCCCCCTCGATTTGCCTTTTACTCGTGCATTTTGTTGAATTTTCGATGGAGCCATGGAAGAAGCGAGAATAATGAGAGAGTTGGGTACCTATTGGAGTACCAAATGATAGATAATTCATGTTATGGGTGGTCGGAGAAGGTGGTTCTTCTTTTTTAAACCGACACTAGAGTTAAGTCTGTAAAGTACCTACAAATTGTACGGCTTATTTTACTAAATGAACCGAAATGTTTGGATCTTGTTTTCTAAGTGCTGTTAAGTGGGGTATTTTAAAATTTCTAGGGATTTATGGTTTACATTTTTCGTTGATTTTGGCATTAAAATTATTTCAAGCCTTCAGATATTTTTATTTAGTCCTTGAAAATAAGATTTCAACTTTTGCTTTTGTCGTTTTGGTAAATAAAAATTGGGTTTCATGCAGGTAAAATCTGTTTTAAATGGGGTAATAGGTATTTTCAATCCAAATAAGTGGAAATTCCAATTAGTTCCAGCATA